CCATTGGCGACTCCTAGAGGCAGTTGTGTTAAATTCTTCTCTACAAAGTGTCTGATCCTTGCAATGGCGTCTGTATGAGACGGGTTCATATAGTAGGTATGTAAGATTTCCATACCATACAGTTGACCAGCTAAACATTAAAGCACAATTTGCAGCGGTCGCCTGTTTTCCCAATGTAATCTGAGCTATCTACTGCACGCACATTGCTATAAAGACACTATGTGAAGATAAATTTGCATGCGTGAATCAGAAACATTTCCATTCAATAAATGTGCAAATAAAATATGATGCACAAACTTATTGATGATTCCTACTTGTCTTTCTCGTGATAGATAGTGGGCAAAATCTGATATGTAGCGGGGAAAAAAAAGAAGAAGGAATTCATCAGATGCTGGATTCGAGCCGAGTTTATGCTCGAACGTGTCAGTACATGATCATATGCTTCTTATGAGGTGCGCCACTGAGACTGCGAAGGGTACTGCAACATTTTACAGATATAAACCACACTATTTCTTTTTTAAATGCACTCAGTGCGATGTTCAGACCCAACTGTGTTAACCGTATCAGCTAAACTCTCCCACTCTATTTTTTTTCTTTTGTTGTTAATTCCGCCGAACAAACTTGCAAATAACACCGCTTTTCTCCGGTCTACCTCCGAAAGCAGCACCTCCATTTCACATTCTGTTCAAAGTTTCTCTTTTTGCTTGCTTTTGCCATTGCTTTTTCGTTGGGTTTTGACATTAGCATAGTCATTAGCATATTCATACGGGGGAGGAGGCAGGGAGGGGTTTTGTGCTCGTGCATGTTGCGCTCAGTTTCACGTTCATTCAGATGTACAAAAGAATATGCGTGAGATTCGGCGTACGCAGTGTTTCATACATCTGAATTTTTTTCTGCGTACGCACATTTACAGCTTTGTGCGTACGCAATGTTTTAGTAAGATTTCCACGCAAGTCTTCGTACATGAGGCCCCAGGACTTTGGTCAAACGTGCCCTAAAAATCTCTCCCAAAAATTCCAGTAAATCTTACATCAATGTCAATTGTATATAAATTCAATTAAATGAACATTATTTTATTATGTTTTTTTTTTAATGTGTAACCAATGTTGCTATATTTATTGGGGTAAAAAGCTTTTAATCAAAAATTATAAATGTCCCATTATAAAGGACCACAGAGAGCTCTTTTTATGTTTAACATGACAATAGTTTATTAATTTTTTGCCTTATTTTGCCAGAGCCATATCAACCTGCACCCCAAGACCACTTACTTACTGAAGCTAAGCAGGGCTGAAGCTGGTCAGTACCTGGATGGGAGACCACACAAGCAAACTAGGTAGCTGTTGGAAGTGGTGTTAGTGAGGCCAGCAGGGGCTGCTCAACCTGCGGGCTCTGTGAGTCCTAATGTCCCAGTAAAGTGAAGGGGACACTATACTGCCAGTGAATGCTGTTTTCGGATGAGATGTTAAACTGAGGTCCTGACTCTCTGTGGTCATTAATAATCCCATGGCACTTCTTGTAAAGAATAGGGGTCTAAGCCCAGTGTACTGGCCAAATTCCCTCCATCAGCCCTTTCCCATTATAGTCTCCCAATCATCCCCATCCACTGAACTGGCTGTATCGCTGTCTCTCCACTCCACCTATAGCTGGTGTGTGGTGAGCGCACTGGCACTGTTGTTCTGTGGCTGTCGTCGCTGTACACTGGTGGTGGTGTGGAGAGACCCCCTTATGATTTTGGTCAGACACAACAAAATGTGCTATATAAATACACATTACATTAAATCTAGCTGGTGTTTTCATTGTACAAGACATATAACTAATCAATACTTGCAGCTAAATTTGGATTTGAAGTTACTTTGATTTTAGGTATAGGTGAAAGCTATATTTTAGTTCACTAATTCATTTGCAGTGTTTGATGTACAGTTAATAGTCAAACACATAGTTTTTTTTTTTAATGAGGAAGATAACAATTCACTGGAAAATCAATACCAGGTGATAGAAATTGCCCTTTAATGATAAAAATCCTTTCTGACACTGATCCAGAGTAAAGACTGGTCTCAATGAAGAAAAATGAGTACATGTATCATATGAAAAGAAGATTAAAGATGATGGCTGCTATGGTATAGATGCTATTTTTCTTTTTTAAGAATGTTTTGAATGGCATATTGTGTCTTTTTTAAGATATAACCCTTCATGTAGTTTAATATAACTGCTGTATTGTATATACTGTTGCTGTTGAGTGTGAAAGATTCAGGCTCAATAGAAAGATGGGATTCTGTAACGCCTGAAATCTTTCATTCATTTATTTTCCGAGATTTCAGAGATCACCACAGTGGAATGAACCACCTGCCTGAAATAAGTGGTCAATAATTTCAATTTTATTAACATAATAAGGGGTTTTGTAACAAATTTGGTATCATAGTTTGATTTGTGGTGTCAACAGAAGACAAAGACTATAATTTGAATCAATATTATTAAATCCAATGCCATAAATTCTGTTCATAAAACAGTAAATTAATGTGTTGGAATGCATTCAGAAATTCAGATACATTAATAGATGGTTTGTTTCTGATTATCCTGTGAGTACAGTAGTAGACCAATTACAACAGACTGGGCTGTCTAACAAATCAAAGCAGAGTCGACTCTCAGAAAGGAGAGGTTGTGGCTTTGTCAAGCACTGTGAGAAAAGAGATGATGCTGCACTATATCTTTTTAGAAATAATGTGTGTTTAACTTGTGATGGATGAAACCTGTAATAAAAGTAACAAAGTAACACACTCTTCAAAAAAAGTTGCTAGAAATAACTAGAAAGCTGTTTAGAACCTTTAATAAAAAGTTCTTTAAAGATCTATTTTGTTCCCATAGCTTTAAAGAACAATTTTATAATTCAAAAGCTCTTAGTGAGATGAAATCCTGGATATTATAGGTTCCTCATGAAACCATTGATGCCATTCAAGTAAAAATTAGATTGCAGTATTGTACACCCAAAGCATGTTTTTATTTTGAATTAAGATTTATTGAATAAGTTAGTTAAGTGATAGAAAGTAGAAGAAGAAGAAAGCAAAAAAAGCGGAAACTAGGACAGGAGTTCTGGTAGCAGGTGGCACATTTGAACATTTCGTTTTCCGACTTTAACCACAGAGCATGTTTGTCTGGCAAGGACACCAGCAGCAGAAGGCTGCGTGTGTGTGTAAGCTTACGTGTGTGTATATGTTTGCGTCTGAGTGCCTGTGTGTGTGTTTGCGCTGTGTAAGATCACTTGTTTGGCCTTGCATCCGCAGGATCAATGGTAGTCTTCACTGAGTAAAGTTATGCAGCGAGCTGGGGAATTTTTTAACACATCCCCAATGGTGCTGGGCGGCTGCCTGGATAAATATAGACGTGTTGATGCGTGTCTCTCCCTCTCCCTCACTCACTCTCTCGCTCAACCTCCCAAGCTTTTAATCAAAAGCAATCTGGAGGAGGGAAGTGGAAAAAAAAGGAGAAAAAATTTGGAATGTGCCAAGATCTTTTGTGTTCCTCGCTCCTGATCCTCCTGCTAAAGGAATCAGCAGGCAGGCTTTCAGCGTGTGTGGAGGAGGGTGATGGATAGCACCGCTAATGTTTGAGTGTAGCATGGCTCGACCCTCCATGGTTTTCCCCGAGATTCTTGTGTATCTACCCACAGTGACCATGGTCAAAGTCTTTGCTCTGTGGGCATGTGATTACATCCCACGGACTTTGCAAATTCAAGTCTCAACCTCTTGTTTCAACAACACCCACCTTCTGTCAGCTGAGATTACTACCTTATATTCATTGTTTGTCTTTACATTTATCCCTTCTAGCACAACAGTTTCCTTTCTGTCTCATTTTCTTTCTTCAGTTCACACCTCCTCCTGCCTACATTATCCCTTATAGCGGGCTGCCGTTTTGTCTGTCAGACCTGAGTCACGTATCTCAGGGTTTCGGTGTCTCTGCCAGTTTAGCTCTTTTTTTAATGCCTCAGCTTTTATTTTTGGTCTTCACATGATGAAGAAAGGCTTAACTGACACACACACACAGGCTTTTCATCTGTAGCTTTGTTGACTTTCTGTCAGCGTAGATGTCTTTTAGATTACACATCCATGCGTTTAATTCTTTAAAATGTTTGTAAAGTAATACAATTTATTTAAGGTTTAAGATAAGTGCACTATTTTTCTTAATGTTATTAATTCACTTAATGGAACATTTCCTGATATTTTACTTGAGCCTTTGTCATCCAAGATGTTCATTTCAATTGAAAAGAAATTAAGGTTCTTGCTGAAATGGTGCAGGATTTTCCTCCATATTGTGCACTTGCCATATATGGTACACAGTGGTTTAAACTTCTAATTTGCAGTTTTAATGCAGCTTCAAATGGATATAAATGATTCCAGCAGAAGAACAAGGATCTTACTTAGGGAAACAATTATTTTCTTAATAAATATAATAATACAAATTTTTAACCACACAATCTAGAGTTAATGCCAGACAACATTTTGTGGTTTAAAAGTTTTTTTGTTTATTTTTTTGGGGGAAATAATCTATTGTTTCACTAGGTAAGACTCAAATTCTTTAGCTAGGATCATGTAAAGTGCAAAAAAATTTCTGAGTGAACCACGTGAACAGAGTAAACTAATCATTTAATCACTGGCTCAGAAGCATAAATGTGCCATAGGTTTACATGTTGTTGTGTTGTGCCATAGGTTTACATGTTGTTGACATGTTGTTAGGTTTATATGTTGCAAACAGGTGAAGTGTGTAATGCAAAAAAAACTTTCTTATGTCCAATTTAAGACTACAATAAACTGCAAGTAATCATTTGCCCACTGCTCTGACTTCGGAGCCTTATTGTGCAGTTGGCACAGAACTGTCTAAAATCTGAGTCATTATTTTGGTTCATAATAATATTTGCAGTTTTATTAATGAAATAACACACTTCATCTTTACAAGATCAAGTCAAACCTTACATTTAAATTTTAAATATTATATTTCTTCAATCCCAGGTAATGTGGGTATGTAACCAATGCCGAAGGCAACAGGATATGCTCACAAAATCAGGAGATTGGTTTCCCAGTCAAGTGCCCAAGCCTGGAGAGCTGGGGTCGGCAGTGAGTGAACCAGCCATGTGTGGAGACCCCTCTGGGGACAAGAAGATGCGCTCTAGGTCTCAGAACCCTCTCGACTCCTCCATTTCCACTGCCCATATTACCCAGACATCTGCCCCAACCGACCCTAGAAAATGTCCTTCTGCAGGCCCAGCTGATACACCATCATCGCGCTCACGCAGTGAGCCTCCACAAGATAGGTACACTTCAGCTTCTCTCAGTAAAATATTGCTGGTCTTTTTTAAACTCTTAATGTGTTTTAACATGTCTGTTAGCCAATTTTAAAGGAAATGTGAGCATGTTTTAGCTGGTTAGGTTGGGAGACCAACTTCCTTCCAACACCAGCATGGCCTAGCCAACCTGTTATTTAGTTGGTATATCTGGGGTCATACACTGCTGAAGCTGGTGTGTAATTTGCATAGTTAGTAGCCAGTTGGTCTCAAGGATTTAGAGTCTAGTTTATAGCTTAAACTTTAATGGGCCAACTTGGGGCTAAACTCTTCAGGATGTTGTCTACCCAGTAGCAGGCTTAAAGATCCTTATATAAGACTGTCTGAATATCTTTGTGATGTTGTGTTTTTATTTACCCTTTAGAAAAAAGCCACCAGCAGCCTCTGATCAAAATGGAAAGCCAGGGCCAAGAGGTGAGAGGCGGCAAAGGCTTTCCAAAATCCATTCCGAAGAGCGGGACACCGGAGAAAATCGTAGAGAAAGTCGAAAACTGATGAAAACTCGCTCTCAGGAGCATGACAGTCCTGAGACAAGGAGGACAGAGGGGGAGCAGAAACCACCCAGGGAACAGTGCAGGACTGACCCAAACGCTCCACATCACCCGGGGAAACTCCGGCCAACGGAGCCTGATGGACGCTTGCACCCTAAATCAAGGGAAGGGGGGGACATGGTGCAAGACAACAGAGGTGCACGTAGATGGGCAGATGGGCGACAGGCCTCATTGGAGGGCCCACAGCCAACCTATGTGCCAGAGAGGACCGCGGGGGAAACAGGTTTGCAGGGTATGCCTGCCATGCAGGGTCCAACACCTAAAACCAACCACACCCCTCAGCCTCCTGCACCGGGGTTCAAACTGGGCCCTGCTATGCCCACAGGTCCACCTGAGCTTAGGGAGCCTCAGGAATGGGACAGGAAGTTGCAGCCGAGCCACCTGGACCCCGGCTCGGCTGCACTTTTGCGCAAATCAAAACGGCAAAAAGCAGAGAGCATGCTGCGCAATGATTCGCTCAGCTCTGACCAATCAGAGTCTTTGCGACCACCCCCACCCCGCCCCTATAAGAGCAAACGGGGTGGCAACAAAAGGCAGATGTCCGTCAGCAGCTCAGAGGAAGAGGCCGGTTCCACACCAGAGTACACCAGCTGTGAAGATGTGGAGATCGAGAGTGTCAGTGAGAGAGGTGGGTCAGTTGGACAGTTGGTTTTTTGTATTATTAAAAAAAGAAAAATTAATCAGGTGTTTATATAAATAAAAAGATTTTCACAAGATTTTACAAGAAAAAATCAGCACTGTCCAGTATGGTTTTTACATCTGTTGAAGTTTATTTGCTATTATTATTGTTATTATTATTATTATTATTATTATTATTTATCTAAGTTAAATTATTATGTAATATCGTCCTTAACTAATACAGTGATTTTTACTAATAAATAATAAACAGTGTATAGGAAACGGTTTTGCACTGAATAATGTTTGTCTGGTTTTGACTGGTTGAAGCTTGTGGTTTAAAGGAGAGGATGTTATTCATATGGTAGTGTGCTGTTAGTCTGGCAAACTGACTGAACACAGACTTAAAAGGTCAACATATTAACACAAGACACGGGTGAAATGTAAACATTGTTGGTTGAAAAGGAAAGACAGACTATATGAGAAGGAATGAGAGACTAAAAATAGGAGAACAGAAGATTGAGCAGAACACAAGCTCATTCTTATCAGTGGAACAACATCAGGTTCAACAATCTCATCCAAACAACAGGTAGGACGTTTATTTTCATTTAATAAAGAATAGAAAAAGAACAGTTTGAGGTAGCACCTGTACTTTGTCAGGTTGTCTTTAAAACTGTTGCAAATTTTGTCAAATGTGTGGGCTCTTTCATCTCCAGGTGGATTTTTTGTTTAATCTACCAGATGTAATTTCATTGTCATTGTCTTGAAAAATGTTTTCTAATGCTTCCATCATTTGTTTTCAAATTTTCAAATGCTTTTATGTATAGATCACATGTTTTAATTATGCGCCGGATTGCCTCAGAGGTCTTTATTTCGGAAAATTAATCATAAAAATGTGAACTATAATAATAATAATAATAATAATAATAATAATAATAACAACAACAACAACAACAACAACAACAATAATAATAATAATAATAATAATAATAATAATTACTATTATTATTATTAACATAATTATTATTATTGTTATTATTATCATTATTATTATTATTATTATTATTACTATTACTATTATTATTATTATTATTATTATTATTTATAATATTAATAGTTATTTACTAAATTAACTATAATGCGTTAGTTAAAAATGGCTGTTTTCCAGAGTTTAACATTTTTATTTAGAGTAACTTTTTTTATAGGACACCCTGCTCAGAACTGGGTTAGACTCTGAAGCAGCAGCTTTCCTTAAAAAAAAAAGTAACCTATGAAGATTCCCTGACATACTTGTAAATAAGCTATCCAGGTCCCTGTTATTTTTATTTATTTTTTTCTTATTTTGAATGTCTGAACTATTTTTTTCCCATGTACCTCACTTTATTTAGCTATAAAATCAATAGTTTTGCCTCTGAATACTTGATTGGGTAAACTATGCTTAAAGTGGTTCAATAAAAGTTATTTATATGTATAAACATACATATAAATGTGTAAATAAAAATGTAAATACATATAAACATTTTTAGGACATTGCAACAATGTTAATGTGTCTTGAGTGGTTACTGTAAGATTTTTTTTATTGAATTTTATATTACTAATTTAGTTGCATTATGAAAGAACTCTTTTCTTTAGTGCAAAATCTGTGCACATTTTTGTGACTTCCATTATTTGCAGTCTGTCAAATGTTAAATTTCTTATAAAGAAATAACATACATCAATAAACTGCTTAATGATTTGAGATTTCTGATCAAAAATGAGCTTTTCTTCATACACAGAATGTTTTTATCTCTCATTTGCATTCTACAAAATTGTCATTGATTTAAAAAGTGCAGCTTTTAAAAACATGTCTTAAGATGTGTTTTGTTCTTCACTCCAATGCCCACCTGCTTTGAAACACATTCTGTTCGATTGGCCCCTTAACAAATACCAGTCATTTTTATTGGCCTTATATTAGTGAACTTTCACAAAGTAATTTCGAGAAAAGCACGTGATATGATTGACCACAGCTGGTCCCTCATCTATAATCATTGGCCAATCAGATTAATCCAAACTCACTATAAGTAGCCTAGCAAAAATTACACCCTTATCTTCATTTTCTGAAGAAACCCCCACCCACCCCTTCTCACCCTTTCTTACTTTACTATGGGGAACTCTCAAGAAGTACCTGATCTAATACTCCACTTACATGCTTAATCGACCAGGCGGAAGCCCTGGGCTCAATTATCTTCGAGCTCAGGGTTCTCTCCCGGGACAGCATGCCAAACCTGCTAACATTTGTCAAACAATATCTAAGTGTGAACTCTTGAAATTGAATACAAATCCACATAAACGCAATTATCCTCCTAAGATCATATTCAGCTTTTTTTTTATATAACTAAACATATTAACAGCAGCAGTATTTATAATCTATTTTGAACACTTCTCAATGTGCGTTATGTAAGACTTCCCAGGTGCTCAAAAATTAACTGGAAACCAGTCCAGAAACCCATATGCACACGGCACTCTTCCATATACTGTAACATGCCAACAGTAAACAGACGTCCAGCATCACAAAAGCATTGCGACTCTCCCTTTGTGCCTGTGTGTGTGTCTGTGTAGGAGTGTGTTTTCAGCTTTATATGTCATGATTGCTTCCTCAGTCTGGAAGCTAAATGTATCACAAACGTAGCGACCTCTTTCTGGCTTTGCTGGTGGGTCAAAGCTGAACATATTTTGGTGTGAGGTCTTGGCTGCAGGTCAAACTTTGGAGTCCTGATATTCAAGGAGTGTAAACAGAGCGGGTTTTGAGGAGGACTCTGGGTAGTGTAAGCTGGCAGCTTAAATAGAGAGCAAATGTGTAAACTCTGGGAATTTTATGTGTGTTTGTGTGTTTTAGGGGACTGGGAGTGCTGTCCACTGGACCCCACTGCGTGGCATGTAAGTATTTTGCACCTTTTTAAAGGGATAGTTCACCCAAAACATCATTTACTCAACCTTCACTTGTCACATCCCTGTTTGAGTTTCTTTTTTCTGTTGAATTTAAAGAAGTTATTTTGAAAAATGTTGGAAACCTGAAACATTGTTTTTCCTACTGTGGAAGTCAATGGTTACTGGTTTCTACCATTTTTCTAAATATTTTCTGTTGTGTTCAACAGAAAAAGGAAACTTACAAAGATTTGGAACCACCTGAGGATGGGTAAATGGTGAGTACATTTCAATTTTTGGGTGAACTGTCTCTTTCATTTTAGAATATGTAGAAGAAAATATAGGGCTGAACTGTATTTTGTACATTATGAGATGATTAGATGATGGTATAACTCGCAAGTTTTAAACTTTCAAAACTTTTTGTACACTCTTATACATTTGCAAATGGTGTTTTGCATTTGTGAAACGTATTTTATAAAAATCTATTATTATTTTGTGCACGTGAAATTTTTTTGTAAATATAAATAAATATTTTACGCACGTGAATTTGGTTTCATGCACGTGAATTTGTCTACGCGTGTGTACATCGTGTCTTTTGCGTAAATTTCTTTTGAGACTAATCTGATTCCTTATTTTACTGACAATACTAAGATTTTGAGTTTAATTCTGAGTAAATGCATGTTATGAAATGCATGACTTACTGTAAATGCAATGTGCTGTAAGTCATTTTGAATAAAAAAGCATTTACCAAATGCATGACTATCAATGCAACATCATGCAAGTTTACTTAAACCGTTGGTAAATATATACTGCATATTTTTGCTTACTATTAGCCTGTGCAGTCTTAAAGATTAAAAGTAAGTGTTCATAATTTTTAAAAATAAATTTTCTTATTTTTTTGTTGATCTTTTTTTAGAATCATTTGCAGCAGGAGGTCCCATAACATATTGTCAGCAGAACCATTTAAATGGGAAATATTTACTTATAGGACCCCTGTATTTTATACGTTACTTTAAAAGGACAAACAAAGATGGCATGGTTCAGCCAAAATTGAACATTTTCACACCCTGGTGTAGATGTAATGTTGTTTGGCCTTCTTCAGATCACAAAAGGAGAAATGTTTTTAAATGCCCTGCTCTTTTTTATCCTTATGATGACAGTGAATAAAAACCTGTCTGTTTAAAAACACACCAAAGAATCAAAGATTAAACCCACATGCCATGTTGAATTTTGTGAACTACATTCATTCATTTGTAGCAGGTGAAAAAATGTTTCCTCTATATGTGCATTAATAACCGTTAATCCTCAAATGCATACCTGGCAACTCAAAAATAGCAGCCCTTGAGTGTCTGACAGCATGTCACATATTAAAAGAGTGAATTGTCATTTATGCCCACATCTGAGAGAAGTACTTAGAAGTGTTTGGTGTGTGTATATAGTCAGTCAGTATAACATTTACAACTAGTTTGTATATCACATAGTAAACATTTTTTCCCGTTTTTTGGGGAACGCAGAAATTAAAAAACCTAAAAAAGAACAAAATCTGGGCTACTTTACGTTAATTTTGGGCAGATTTTGAGTTATCAGAGGGCTGTAAATTTTTCTTGGAACTGAAAAAGTTTTTTTCTTGGACAACTCTGCTTGTCATGCAGTTTGATGAGAACCAAAATTAAATTAACTATTTACAGCCTTGTTCATTCTAACTCGACAAAAAAAGACACACAGGTTGTAAGAAATCATGAAACACTGAAATGCAACAAAATACAATAAATTTAAATAAAGTACTTTGTTCTCTGAAATAAATACATTTTGTATTCACCATAACAACTGTCTCTTACATTAATTTGTAAATTTAAATTTTTAACATCATCGGACAATCCTGAGATATTTCAATTGATAAAGAAACAACACAGTTTCTGGCGGATTACTTGCCGTTAAACTTCATGTAATAATAATAATGATTTTTCAAAACATTTTACTTGATTTTTCTGAGGGAGTCTGAATTAACTATGGTCACAATATTTGAAATATTGTAATATACTGCAAGTAATATGTTCAATTATTACATTTGAGCTGGTTCTTGACATCATGTGTGGTCATTCTGTGATACTTTTTTTAAATTCTCCTTCTGTGGTTCAAAATAGAATAAGTGTTTACTGCATTAGACCAAAACTGAGGAGAGTGAATGATGACTCCATTTGAATTTTTGGGTGAACTATACCTTCAAAATGAGTTTGTGTGTGTGAACGCGTGTGAAGGTTAGGTAAGGGTTAGATGTAATGGGATGGTTCTATCTCTGATAGGATTAATCTCTGCCTTGTCTCTTTAGCATCCGGTTACATGGCAGCCCTCCAAAGAAGGTGATCATTTAATTGGCCGAATCACTTTGAGCAAGAGAACAGCCATGCCAAAAGAGGCTGGGGCTCTGCTAGGGCTAAAGGTGAGGGGAGAAACACTCACATCAACATATCGCATTAACACAAGTGTTCCTCTACACCAGGGGTTTTCAAACTCTGTCCTGGAGTTTTGGTGTCTTGCAGATTTTAGCTCCAACTTGCCTCAAGACACCTGCAAAGATGTTTTTAAAAAGCCTAGTAAGAGCCTGATTAGCCAGCCCAGGTGTATCTGATTGGGGTTATAGCTACAATCTGCAGGACACCTCTACACAATAAAGAAAAACATGCACAGATAAAGCTTATTGAAGCTTTCAAGAATTTCAGGATTGATTTGTTTTGGTACAGGTGGTCGGGGGGAAGGTTACAGAAACTGGGAGACTTGGGGCCTTCATCACCAAAGTCAAGAAAGGAAGTCTAGCTGATGTAGTGGGTCATTTACGGGCTGGTAAGTTCAGTCAAAAAACTAGCAATGTCGGTTTATTATTGAGTCATTCATTCATTAATTTTACTTCAGCTTAGTCCCATATTTATCAGCTGTCACTACAGCGAAATAAACTGCCAACTACTATTACCGGCAAATGTTTTATGCAGGGGATGCCCTTCCAGCCACAACCCAGTACAAGGAAACACCCAAACATACTCATTCACAAATACACACTTATACTCTATGGCCAATTGTTGCTTACTCAATTCACTTACAGTGCATGTCTTTATAATGTTGGGGAAACCGGAACTGTCAGTTTATTAATCTGTTATTTTATTATGTATACTTATTATTTAGTATGCTATTCTCAGTTAACAACTGCTGGATAACATGCTCATCTTTGAATCACCTTCACCTCCATACACTAAAATACACACTTATATGTAGCCACTGTTTTTGACTGTTTGGCATCATGTTGTGAATGAATAATACATAGGTTAGTCTATTTTCCATTCAACCTGTTTCGTTACTGTCAGCTTTGCAATTTTGACTGTTTGTTGCCATTTTAAGAATGAATAATATGTAGGTTAGTCTATTCTTCATTCAATTCAAATAATTGGCAAATAATTGGCAAGTTAGTGAATGCTCCATCAGCTCTATTCAGCTGTTTTCGTTTCCGTCAGTCTTGCATTTAATTAAATAATTAATTGATTATTACGGTTTAGAACAATACTTTTGTGTCTAACTGTTTATGTTTTCTGCCAAGTATTCATGTAATAAGAAAGTTAAAGTATATGTGTCTAAAATAAGTAGGTTGAAGAAGCTATTTTCCGTTTAAACATCTAAAGCCTGCTGTTTAGTCTAGGACTATAGCCTTAATGGTTCAGCCGAAATGAAAATTACCTTATAATTTCCTCTCTTTTCACTTTTTCCAAACCTGTTTTTGTTGATCACAAAGAATGTTTTTTATGAATGTTGAAAAAAGCAGCTATTGACTTCCATAGTATATTTTGTTCCTACTATAGATGTCAATGGCTCCTTTTTCCCCAACGTTCTTTAGAATATATATTTTTATAGACGTTTAGAACCACTTGAATGTGAATAAATTGTGAGGAAATGTTAATTTCTGGTTGAGCTATCCTTTTCAATTGCAATTACAGTATATAACACATTTATGCATCCTAATAATTAAGTTTAATAATGGAGTAATAATGGAGTTACTCCTCAGAAATGTTGAAAATCATTAATGAATGTGTTTATTAAGTAGTATATTTACTTTTACTATTATAATAATGAAGTTTATTGTGATAACACACATTTTGTCTGTTTGTAGGTGACGAGGTGCTTCAATGGAATGGTAAATCATTACCAGGATTAACCAAGAAAGAAGTTTACAATATCATCTTGAATTCCCAAGCAGAACCACAAGTTGAATTAATAGTATCAAGGCCAATTGGGTAAGTCTTTCATCATAAACTTGACTGGTTATCTGACTTTTGCTTAACTAACGCAAAGCACACAAAGACAATCGGTAAATGAGTGTTTAAAAACAATTCACAAGCATTCAAATGGCTGTTCAACAGATGTTTAAATGTGTCTGTATTGTGTTTAGTTCTCATCGTGAGCCGTTATATTCTCCTTTGCTCTGTCCTCCTACCTCTTTAAAAAGATATATTCATTGATTTCTTTCCCAACCTTTGCAAATATGGTATAAATCTTAGAAGCAAGTAAAACAAAGTCTTAAGAGGTGATTTAAGGACTTCATCTCTGAATTCTCTCCTCAAATGCATGTTTGTTTTATATTGCTTTAAAATAAATGCCACTTTGTTTTTATTCAAATTTAAGTATATTCATGTGTTAACTGTAGCTGAAATGTCAAATACTTTCAAACACCGATGTTAGTAAGATGAAATAAATTGCCATTTTTATTTACAAGGATACATTCAATTGATCAAACATCTGAATTAAAGACATTTATCATTTCAGATGTATTCTGTTTTTCAAATAAACTCTGTTCATTTAAACTTTATTTTTCATCATGTTTCCAAAATGAGATGAAATCAAATAAAATAAGCAACAAAACTGTTTTAATTTTTTTGTAATAATAATGTGTTTTATGGAATGCCAAATCAGCATTTTGCATGATGTAAAAATTGGCAAATCACTATAAAGTGTGATTTATTCAGCCTAATCTCACGAGGAAACATAAGTATTTTACGTTTTTTCAGTTTAGTGGCTAATTCCTACAAATTCGTGCGAGTTCAGTGGTACAAAAATGTACGATTTAAAAAGGAGGTGTGGCACCTAACCCCACCCCTAACTCCAACCGTCATTGGGTGATGAGCAAATCGTACTAAATTGTACGAATTAGATCCTCGAATTCATACGATTTAGCCACTAAATCAAAATGTTACGAATTGCCGTGAGATTGCGTTGGATTTATTCTTTTTCTGCCTCTTTGCAATATTTTAAATAATATATAAATAGTACCAAAATCCCCTCTGTAAAAAGTCTTGTCTCTTATTTGTAAAAAAAACAAAAAAAAAACAAGCATTTTTATTAAACAATACCTCATTTGCTTGAATCAAAGTTTGTTATTCCAAATGTAATGGAAGAATAGTGATAATTATCAGGTAATTCACTCTATTTACCTGCTGTGTTTAACCTTATATACACTCAACAGCCTTTTTATTAGGTACACTTGTCCAACTGCTTGTTAATGCGATTTCTAATCAGCCAATCACATGGCAGCAATTTAATGCATTTAGGCATGTAGATATGGTCAAGACGATCTGCTGCAGTTCAAACCGAGCAACAGGGATTTTAGGGACTTTGAACGTGGCATGGTTGTAGTTGCCAGATGACCTGGTGTTATAGAAACTACTGATCTACTTTTCACGTACTAACATTACTAGGGTTATAGAGAATGGTCAGAAAAAGAAAAAATATCCAGTGAGTGGCAGTTCTGTAATCGCAAATGCATTGTTTATGCCAGAGGTTAGAGGAGAATGGCCAAATTGGTTCGAGCTGATAGAAAGGCAACAGTAACTCAAATAACTGCTCATTACAACCGAGGTATACAGAAGAGCATCTCTGAATGCACAACATTGAGGCGGATGAGCTACAGCAGCAGAAACAGGAAACTGAGGCTACAATTCACACAAGCTCACCAAAATTAGACAAAAGAAGATTGGAAAAATGTTGCCTGGTTTGATGAATCTCGATTTCTGCAGCGATATTCGGAAATAGGGTCAGAATTTAGCATCAACAACATAAAAAGCATGGATCTATCCTGCCTTGTCTCAACGGTTCAGGCTGCTGGTGGAGGTGTAATGGTGTGGGGGATATTTTAGGTAATAGTAAGATGTACCTTATAAAGTGGCTGGTTAGTGTATGTGGTGTATATACAAATTAGAAGATAGTTAATAAAAATTTTGATAATATGTGCATTATTACTTTTTTAATTAATGTTTGATCAATTGAATACATCTTTGGTGACATTTGGTTTCATAAACAATAAATAAACCATGTGACTTTTGTACAGCAATGTGCTCTATTTTAATACTGACAGCTACAGTAGTAAGCTGAAAAATATCTAATCTTTTTTTCATTCAGTGATATACCAAGAATACCAGAAACCTCACATCCTCCATTAGAATCAAGTATGTATTCAATCGAATGATAATTGTGATCAATTGTAAACCCTTAAATATTTATCTTTAACACAATCTGGATGTTTTCAATAATTGTGCCTCTACAGCTGGTTCAAGTTCCTTCGAGTCTCAAAAGATGGAAAGACCCTCTATATCTGTCCTGTCCCCATCCAGTCCCAGTGGTCTTCGAGATGCTCCTCAGCTTCTGCCAGGACAGCTGTCGGTCAGGACACACTCAAGAAACAATGTCAAATCCCATTTTTTATGTTGTGCTTATAGATTTTGTTTATTAGCTGTGTGTTTATGTCTTGCAGGTGAAAATGTGGTATGATAAGGTCGGCCATCAGCTGATAGTCAACGTACTGCAGGCTAAAGATCTGCCACCTAGATCAGATACACGACCCAGAAACCCCTACGTTAAAATGTACTTCCTGCCTGATAGAAGGTATACATTTTCTTTTTTTTTTTTTTTGGTAAAAATGTTGTGTTGTTTTTTTTCTGTGTCAAATTGACTACAAGGCATTTTTTAAATCTATAAAATGGATATTAAAATGCAACAAATCTAACATCTTATCTAGTTTGCCCTCGTTTGAAAAATCTGTTGTCAACAACGAAAAAAGGCTGTTCAAAAGTTTGCCTTTGGTTTTCTATAAAAATGCTAATTCTTAATATTTAAAATAAAATAAATACCATAAATATATATTTTATATTATTATGTATTTTTTAGATAATTGTGTAATTATTATGTAATCTAATATTTTATTTATTGGGATATTTCTTTATTGTTTTTATGTTAAAAAAATAAACATAAAATTATAATAACAATAAACGAAAAAATTGTTTCATTAACTTGTTTTACTGTTTTTTATTACATTTATGAAGAAACATGTAACACTGATAACTAGCTGAAATTTTAGTTTTGCCATTACTGGAATAAATAATTAAAATATAATAATAATAAATTGTAACGATATTCCAAAATACTACTGGTTTGTATTATTTGTTTATTAAATCAATGCAGACTTGGTGAGCGTAAGCGATCTTGCCAACCCCAATGTTTTCAATACTGTTGTAAATCAAACACAATATTTTACAATAAATTTATGAGTATTGATTAATTCTGATGTGTGCATAGATCAATTGTGAATTTCGTCTGTGTGTAATGTCTTTGTATGAATTTGTTTTCCTTTAGTGATAAGAGCAAGAGAAGGACGAAGACAGTGAAGAAAAGTCTGGAGCCCAAGTGGAACCAGACGTTTGTGTACTCTCATGTCCATCGACGGGACTTCAGAGAGCACATGCTGGAGATTACAGTGTGGGACCAACCCAGAATACAGGAGGAGGAGAGCGACTTTCTGGGAGAAGTACGATGCATATCTTAACCTTGTCCATTGATTCACAGAAAAAAATAACAGTCTAACTGTATGTTGCGAGGGTATATTTGTTGAAATAACTAACAACATATTTTATGAGTCGAAATGTTTTTGTTTTTTTTCACGGCAAAAATTAATATTAAGTAAAGAGAATTGTCCATGGTTTTGTAAATTTTCTTCCCTGAAAATATATCAAAATGTATCTTTTGATTAGTAATATGCATTGCTAAGAGCTTGATTTGGACAATTTTAAAAACAGTTTTCTCATTAAATTAAATTTATGAACCCTTGGATTGCACATTTTGTAAGTATAACTATACATACAGTACAGGATGTATGAGGGGTGTTGTGCGAGGTATCTGAAGAGCGGGAAGGGATGAGGTAGAGAGCCGGTGCGTGACGTATCTAACAAACAGGGGGAGACGTAGAATTTCCAGGAGATTATCATTGGTTTGTGGGCATCAATCCATATGTGGGAGACTCCTGGAACTTCTGGGAGACTAGGGATGTCTACATCTGTAATTGGCTAAGTGGAATAATCAGTCTCTGCCATTAGACCACCGTTTTTTACCTGCTAAAGATAATGTTAGCTACTAGAAGCATTTTAAATGTGGAGTTTTGAACACCATAGTCATCAAGTCTTTTTCTAAAACACTTCACATTTTCGCCTGTTTTAAATTTACTACTATGCTGACACACAGGCACAATAATTTGTATTTAAAGTGACAGTCACCAAAAAAAGTTTATTATTTCCTTTATTTTTCTCTGAAAATACTGGTACTCTATCACACTCTTCTGTTTGTGAACGTAGATCCTCATTGAGCTGGAGACTGCCCTGTTGGATGATAAACCTCATTGGTACAAGCTGCAGACCCATGACGTGTCCTCCATCCCACTGCCACATCCGTCGCCATTCCTGCCCCGCAGACACGGACACACAGAGACACCCACCAAAAAACTGCAGCGTAAGTCATGGCCTCACTTAAGGGAATGTCAACTAAAAGTTTACTAGTTTGTGTGCATTCTCTGACAGTGAGGAGTTTACTGAAGACCTGAGTATACTTTGTTTTTACGTGTACTGTAAATTGGTGTGCGCACAAGAGTAAAATGCACAGCCTTTTAAAGTTTATTCTATTTCATAACATGTAAGAAAAGAACATTGGACCTCTTTCACCAACCATTCTTATGAACAAACCTGTTCCTAAACTCTAATTATGCACTTTTTATTATGCACACAAAGGTTCAACCATTCGCTAATGTTTTCTTACGTGGATTTTGTCCTCAAGGTAGGCACCTTGACAGCTCCCCCCCCCCCCCCCCCCCCAAAAAAAAACGTCAGAAATATTATTTAAATCTAAATATTATAAATATAAACAGTCAAAACGGTCAGTAATATGTTTTTGTTATTATTTACAAAGGAAAGAATAATTCCTCATTCACAATAGCAGCGACTTGGTAGCTGCCTGTCGCTCTGGGTGGCGATATACTGCAAACGCTGGTCTGTGTAGGTCTACAGAACAGAGAATACAACTGGCCTCTGAGCAAGCTAAACGAGGATCACGTGAGCTCTATTGGTGCTCCTATTGGCTGTCGCTCGAGAAAGTTGCTCTTCATCTGCAAAAAGTAGAAGGATTCTCAATGTCCATGTTGCTCGGTAGCAGACGGAGGTTGTCGCAAGTCGCTCACTCTCAGTTAAAATAAACGGTCACTTGTTGCTTTGCTGCTGCGAGTCGCTCGTAGTGTGAATGAGGCTTAAATAGTATACATTATAAAAATCTGCAAATGAATTAGCAAACAGTTAAGCCTATTCAAATGAATAGCTATTATAAAGAAATTGAATCAAATTATCAAATGTCAATAACCTTTTCTTTACTGTATAAGTTAAACATTCTGATGAAAGAGCAGCGAATAAATCTCTCATTTAGATTTTTCAATTGATTACATTAAATAACAGAGGTGTCACTTTAAAAATACACAGATCTATAATAATTGCATTCGGTTGCATTCCTAACTGTTTATGTTCATTTAAGACCAAATTTGTTGTGTTTAAAAGAAAAACCACCAAGACCAACATCTTTAGATGGTATTTTTAAAATAATAATAATTATTATTATTATTATTAAATATAAATATAATAATTATTATTATTATGATAATGATCGTGATTATTATTATTATTATTATTATCATGATTGTGATTATTATTATTATTATTAATTGTTTCTTTCAGAAGATATGGTGATTGAGGCACATTGATTCTATATAGTATGAATATGAATAATATGAATCTAATTTGCACATAAAACATCCACCATTTTGTTGTTATCACATGACCTACCTGCATCATTATGTTGCTTCAGTTTTCTCCTACAGCCTCGTGGGACAGTAGGTTGTCCACTGTAGGCACATTTCAGCATCTCAGCAGAAGACTCTGCTTTCTGTTAGTGGTATTTGAGTTAAGTGCATATTTTTGCTTTAAAATACAGCTCGATTGTGTCTCACATGTTCAGTAAATTCGCCCCCTCAGTATTTTACAGATTTACAGAAAGATTAAGATGATGTAGGCAGCTTGATTAAAATAGATGAAGCTCCACTTTCCAAGATCTTAAGTCAAGTCAGAGGAAGAAAAATTTCTCAATTACTAAACTATATTTAAGAAAGAAGGTAAAGGACAGCAATCAAAAATTATTCGAACTTTAGCATATCTTTCAAGCCAAGGTCCTGGACTCCATCCAGAGTCATTAATATGTTTGGCATTGTCTTGTAATAGTCATGGTTTTCCATGTCCGTTTCATCTGTGTGTTCATGCGGAGGTATGTTTTTGAAGTGTGCTGCCTGTGAGTTATAGTGTAGGAGTGCGTGGCCCATGGGTACGGTTTAGTATGCTGTGTTATTTCTGTATACCTATGCTTGTGTGCATTGGTTTACATGTGTATCTGCGTGTCTGTCTGTACATCTGTGTGTATATCTGTATCTGTCTGTGCAGGCTCGCAGCGTATTACAGAAACTGATTATGATGATACTATTGGCGTAGTCGCCACAGGTGGGTGAGAGGGGCCAAGGCAATGGCAACCTTGGCGCTTCTCTGTGCTTTTTGTGCATTGCAGTTCCCCAAAAAGAGAGAAGCAACCAACAGCAGGCCTTCCCTAGGTCTGGAAGTCCCTGCTGTTGTGCTGGAGACAATGCACCTTCACTATTATTGTTACACATCTGACATGTTTTATTCCCTCAATCAATCTATACTAATAAACTAACCGTTAAAGTCCTGTCAATGGGATAGTTCACTCCAGCATGATAGTTCTGTTATCGTTCACCATCAGGTTGTTTACAAACCCATATAAAACCCACAAATAAAGATGATTTATAACATGTTGACATCTTTAAAATCAAGATACGACACACTATCATAAATATGAATGATATGCTTTAAAAATGATGGGTTTCACACTATTCCTTCATGTTGTCCCAACACAAATTATCACTTTTTTCAATGACACGACTGTCATTAACCTTCATTCACACAGGTATGTTCATTTAAATGCAACTATGACATTGTTTAATATGTGTTATAAAATAATTATGACACTTTTATGAAATCAATGACACAATTATAACGGCATCATAATAATCATGTTTATGACAGATTTATGACAAGTTATATTGTCTTAGTAATGTTGTCATGACCAAAACATTGAGAGGTTTTGTTGTCTAGGTATTTGTGTATGTCAACAAACACATCTCAAACCATGTCACATTTGCATTTAAAATGCCATAATTGAGTGAATGATGCTTAATGACATTGTCATAAGCATGAACCTGTATCTTGCTGTTAGGTGAATTTTTTCAACTTAGAATTGGGGTCAAATATAGATTTGGAATGATGTAAGAGTGAACAAATAATGTCTGAATTTTCATGTTGGGGATACTTAACCCTTTAAATTGTTTAAATGTATATCTATTACTACAGGAAATGTCATAGACAGTGTTTATACACACTGGCTATACAGAGTGTTGTGTCTCCAGTGCTTTTCTTTGTAGTACAGTAGTGTAGATCTGCAGCATAACACACGGTCACACATGCATGATCACAATGGGGAAAATTAGGAAAAAGAATTTGGGACTGAGAGGACTGTGTGTTCTCCATGTGGTGCTACATGTTTTCTTTTGCATGGTAGAAGGTAGAAGGTTTCTGATGTTTTTGTGGTACACTGCCTTTGTGAGATACCTTGACTTCATTCTCCAAACCGCAAACAGAACTTGTCATATAATTTTGAGAATACTGGATATTTTGTTGTTCCTTTCCATCTTTAAATCTTTTTTTTAATTTTGCACTTCATTTTTTTATTATTATTTTTGATTATTATTTAAGTTGAATTTGAAATGAGAATGAGTTTTACTATGTTTTAATAACTTGTGATATTTTATTTTTGCAATCTAGGATAAGTCAGTCATTACAGAAGGAAGTATTTGCTCCACAGGCCAAACTGACAAAATATTGTCACTTCTTCTTTTTTTTTTTTTTTTTTACTAAATTAAAGTTACATTTTTTAAGTATCATAAAAATAATAAAAGTCTATAAAGGCACTAAAATTAAGTATCTGAGTTGTAATGGTTTAGCTATTTTGTGTACCTAATGTAAAATGGATTTATGAGGTGAAATGGGATTGAAATATAATAAATGGCAATAAAAATGAAAACTTTTGACAAAAATAGCTTTGTTTGCTGAGCCAAAATGTTTTAAATATCCTTAGCGATGTACAATGCTTTGCAGTAATAAAAGAAAGTTTTGTCCACCCAAAATTTTTCTGTTATTTTCTATTGTTTAGATTTCTAAGCAAAAAGAAAATACCTTTTAGGCAAAACCGATTGATTCGTATTTGTATCAACATACAGAAATTACATAAAGTTCAAAATAAAAATTTTAGACCTTAAAAAGTCTTAAATTCCCTGAAATATTGTGTTGTTAAATCATTTTATACAGGTCTTAATTTTTTCCTTTGTCCATGTAAAGCTACATTCACTATCATTCAATCTCAATAAAAGTTTTAACAAACATTTATTTTTTAACTTTTATTTATTCTATAAACTCTATTACATTATAAACTCTATTTAGCAACTCTATTTTTATTTATATAGTTTAATTATCTTCCTTACAATAACATTTGTTTTAAATAGTTTTTTTATGTTTTAACTGGGCCATTGGAAAAATACAGAGCCTTTAGTCTGATGTCTGAAATTTCATTCATAATGATCTTAAAAAGGTCTTAAGATGTCTTAAATTTGACTTGATGAAACCTGTAGAAACCCTGACATATTCAAAATAATAAAGGAAAGAATGGTTTATAAGAATGGTTATAACCAATGAAAAAAATTGTGTTATATACTTGCTTTGATAAAATATTACAATGCATAATAAGCCATTTTATAAAACAGATTCATTTTTCAGTTTTTATTTTTCAGTTTAGCTTCAAAATAACATAATAAAAACAAAAAATATCTTATAGTTTACGAATATCATATACAGTCATCATACACAATATCATATAATATCATCATACACTTCTGAAATAATTACTTTATTTTTCCTTTACAGCCTGAATTAAAATCATGCTTCAAATAACTTGTTCAGCCTTCTGACATGTTTTTGTAGCCTTTTCCTAACCTGTGCTTTTCTATTTTATCCCAAATGTCTTTTGAAGTAAAAAGTATAGAATTTTTACAGTATGGTATGATAATTTTCTAAAGGCTCTGTGTGGAGCTATACAGTATATAGCAGTGATATGATATAAATATGTTTGTTAGGAAAACTATGTGAAAAAAACATTATTTTGATAAATGAAATATTAGTGTATTTTTATTATATTTTATAAAATGTATTTTAATATATTTTGTCTATATTTTGTTTATTTGACTTATTTTGTTATTTCAAAAGAAGACAACATTGATACCGCAGGAGAATGAACAAGCTATTTCATTTTATTTAGCATGTTTTGTTAGATATGACCTAACATATTATGTCAGTCCTCTTTCATTTTAGATGGGTTCTAACTTGGGGAATGTGATTGAGAAGGCCAGTGACTGAATAACTACTAAACTTTATCCGCAGACTCTCCAAAATTGTAAAAAAAAAAAATTTATCTCTGTGTGATCACAGCTACAGAAAACCGATCCAGAGAAAGAGAACGAGAGCGAGACAGAGACCGAGCAACGACATTAGAGGTTCCTGACCAGCAGAGACCAACTCAGTATCGCTCTCGATCCGTGTCTCCACACCGAGACGAGGACAGGGGAAGATCCCGACCTCCAAATGTCCCAGCACAGAGGTACAACCAACATTCAGCATTCATCACACAGAGATATATGGTGATAAACAAATTATATAGCATAGGTGATGCAAATATGAATTACTTAATTAATTACTCAATCTCCTGAAACTTTTGTTTATCTTAAGAGCACAAGTGAAGATATTTTAGATGAAATCCGAAAGCTCTCTGATCGTCCTTAGAGAGTTATGGTCCCAAGATGTTCAAAGTCCAGAAAAGGAACCAAAAATATTGTCAAAGCATTCCTCGTGGTTCAACTGTTACGAATCAAAGCTCTAAAAAGAATAAAAACAACTGTAAAAACCGACTCTGTTTGACTTTGTCTTCTACATCAGGTCAGGGTGCGTTTATACACTTCCTGACAAAAGACTTGTCGCCTATCCAAGTTTTAGGAACAACAATTAATAACTTATAGTTGATCATTTGGTATAAGAAGTTGCTTATATGAAAAGCAAAGGACTCTAGATTACGCTTATTTTACCAAAATAAACTATTATCATGCATTGATTTTTAATAATTTAATTATAACAGTAAGGTGTGACTTTGCTTCATTAATAACTTATTAAAAAAGTAATCTGGAATAGCAAAGAAGGCATTCGTGCTGGACTCTTAGAGTTCATAAAGATTCTTTGGATTCATCTTCAATGCCTCCTCCTTCATCTTACCCCTGACATGCTTAATAATGTTCATGTCTGGTGACTGGGCTTGCCAATCCTGGAGCACCTTAACCTTCTTTGCTTTCAGGAACTTTGATGTGGAGGCTGAAGTATGAGAAGCAGCTATCCTGTTGAAGAATTTGTAATGAGAAGAGTTTGTAATGTAATGGGCAGCACAAATGTCTTAATACCTCAGGATGTTGATGTTTTCATCCACTATGCAGATCTCTCGCATGGCCCCATACTGAATGTAACCCCAACCCATGACTTTTACTTCACCAAACTTAACTGATTTTTGTGAAAATCTTGGGTTCATGCTGGTTCCAATAGGTCTTCTGTACTATTTGTGATGATTGGGATGTTAAATAGATGATTCATTGGAAAACTCTGCCTTCTGCCACTTTTCCAAATGATCAACTAGAATTACTAGTAGTATGGACAATACAACACTTGGTTGTTGTGCTACTGATTCTAATGACAAAAAATTGCATTGTCTATACAGGAGTCAACATTTAAAGTGGATAAAGTTAAAGTAAATTTAATTTCTTTTTCCTAAGACAAAAATGTTTGATGCTCAATAGTTTTAGGACAACTTTGATACAATAATTTGATTCACTTGTGTGGCTATTGTAGTAAACATGACTTGAATTGGATTAGATTACAATATCGCACAAGTCACTTTTACTTTTTTTTTTTTTGGTGCACAGAAGTGTTATTAAAGCTTCATATTATTACAGCTGAAACACTGAAGTCATAAGAAATATTTTGACAATGTTTTTAGTTCCTTTTCTTTGATTTAATCTAAAATACATTAATTTGTGTTCTAAAGATGAACGAAGGTCTCAGGGGATTTAAACAAATTTTTTTTGGTTTACCTAACCGTTTAAATCCCTGTTTTTTTCTCTCTAAGGAGTCTGGATGAAGTCCAGCACACTCGAAGATCCCGTTCCCCAACCCGATACCACGACCGCAACCGTCTTCAAGAAAGAGACTACATAGACGACAGGTAAACCCAAAAGTCTGAAAGTGAACATCCAGAACGATCACTTCCATGTGTCTTCATTTGCTGGAGCGCTTTTGAATTGAGTTTGGAGACTTTGCCTTGCACTGCTTTCAGAAGGTTGGTTAAAGACAAACCACATGTGTCTGAGTGATTGATTGTAAAAGGATTGAAGGGTTTGTATTGACAGAAATGATCTAACAGAAAGACTTGTCTTGTGTTGTGTCTTGTTCTAGCTTTGAAGGTTGTTACCCTTCCTTTTCTAACTCTCATCGTTGCCCATTTTTTCATTTTGGTTTGCTTGTTTATTAGTCTGTTTTGTTTATGTCCCTGTGTCATCCATCTATGGTAATTGCAGTGAGGTCATCTTGATACACAGATCAATGCGGGGTAGAAGCGCAGAGTGTCTGCACACCCAAAGGTAAAGAAACGGACAGGACTGAACCAGCAATATGTGAATTATAGTATTGTTGTATTCAAATTACTGCGTAAATCAATATTACTATCTTGCTATCACGAGCACTATCATTTTCATTTTGAAAAGACTCCTCGTATCTGCTCCGTTCGCCTAGCCTGAAGTTTATTCCATTTAATTAAAACAGCAGTAAGTGTTTATGCCAGTTTCTCTCCCTCGAACGCTTCTTGTCAGGCTGTTTCGCTTCTCAGATCTAATATTTCAGAGCGGATCGTTGACAGGGAACATTACAAGTGGAACTTTCCGCTTGCTTTTGGCGTACAGCCTAAAAGACGAAAAGCCGTTTGCTTTCTCAAAATAACAATCACGTTCTGCTCAGGTGTTATTTTGACATGTTTATTTTTATTCCGTTGGTCACTGACCTCGATTAAGTCACTAGCACACTTGACAGATGATGTAGAATGAGGGAGTTGTTGCATGTTTGCATGAGTGACCTTTGTTCTCTTGCTGTTTGAGTGAACTAACAACAGCTGTGATTTTGATGCATCTTTTGTTTCCCTTTTGCATGCTTGCATGTTAATGTTATGTTGCCAGGAGTTCATCTAAGTACAGTAGCACTCTGCCTCCCAAGATGCCTTTATTAGTTAATGGAATTCATAAGGATATTTACAGGTAAGGCAGCCATAAATGATCACTCAGGCCATGGCATCCTTTCTGAATAATGAGTATTTTATAGCTTAAACTCACTCATATTTATTTATGGGTTAGCTTAAGTCATCTACAGTTTCCTGGTGTATTTATTATTGTTAAAATCTGATGAAGTACTTTTTTCAACACAGGCTCATTGTGAAAACATACCCCTGTATACATTTCTGGAGAGCATGAATTATGTAGCCAGAGCTGCATTTCATCTTTAAAGCAAACGTTTAGGGTGTAAGTAACAGGGTGAAAACATGGTAACATCTGAAAATGTGGTAAAAATCAGGCAGCCGCAAGGACTTTTCTTTTTTTGGATTGCTTTTAAAAACACTGTCGGTTGGGTTTAATGATGGCTGTGGGTGGATCAATCGGTGTTTTTGAAAACACTTTCGTAGGCAGGATCGGGAGGTCAGTCAGACAGTTAGTCCGTCAGTCAGTCGGCAGCGGCCTCTGGTGAATTTATGCGAGAACAGCAGGTGTGAATGCCACTCACAAGAGAAATTTAAGATCTGAAAAAGCGTACACAGCGGCTTCTGGTGGATTCGCGAAAACAAAAACTGCAAAAAAAAAAAAATGTACCTCCTGGACCTATTTCATGATCTCCAGAAATGTATATACAAGTATTTATCGGTAATAAGCCTGTTTTTTTATTCTAATTCATTCATTTATATATTTAGAGTTCATATATTTTAAGTAGAAAATATTCTTTAGAAAGTTTTTAAAAATGTAAATATTATTAAAAATAAAAATAAACTCCATTCCATTGAAAACATTTTAATTATTGTCGCTTTCATAATTCTGTTACATTTTACCAATGCTAAAAAACCTCCTCTTACTAATCACAGTCTTATTTTCTGTACAAACCTGTAAAAGAAATAAATACAAAAAATAAATAAAATACATAATTAAAAAAATAATGCTTTAGAGAACTAGACTCTTTCTAAACGTAAAGTACTATTTAATATTTAATTTAAAGTAAATATGTTTTGAATGGGCTGAGTTGCAGTCAATTTACTATAGTTCATTCGCAGTTTTTTTTTACAAAGGTGAAAAAGTAAATCAAAGTTTTAAAAATAGCTTTTTTCGAGTAAGGGTAGATCAGTGCACAGTTTATTTTAATTTATCAAAACTTCCTGTCAGTAAATTCAGCACTTTTAGTTGTTTCCAAAAGTGATTAATTATGACATAACATATAAAGATGTATTCAGTTATGACAAAAACAAAACTATAGTGCAACTACCTGAACTTAATATTAATTTAAAGTTGTATACATTTCTATTTTATTGCAGTTGACATGTACACACAGTTTTGACTATTTTAAAGAACATTTGTTTTCAACACTGTTATATCTTATACACATAAAGAGGTATTGGATGTTGAAATAAAGACACTGTTGCTTGTTAAGATGGTAGTTAAATGTGAGTGTCGTGTTCTGGTTTCTGTGGATGTTGAAAGTAGCATCATCAATTTTAAAATACAGTATTTTTTCAAAGTGTTAAATGGTAAATCACTGATACCTATAAACATCTCATGCCGTGTCCTAACCAGGAACGATGGGACATCTTGCCAGCAACAAGTAATATGTCTGTTCAAACCAAGTAGGTCCATAACTCTAAAAGCCTTCCCATTGGAACCCAGTGGTTGAAACACAGCAGTAAAACTTTGAACGGGCCTTATTTTTGCTGTAACCCACAGAAAAGTTGGTCATTTCATTGCTTTTTATGACACTTTTTTTGTCCTTTAGTGTGTTCAATTTGATTGCACTTTATTTAATGGTGTCTTTGTTACAATACTTAAGTATTTTCTGAGTGAGCTGAATAAGCTGATTTGTGTGAGGGTTATTGTTTAAGGTTAGTTACATGTGATTATGCATAATTTATTATTGCTGTAGAAGTTGATGGAACGTGTGTAACAAGGGCCTCATAAAGTCAAGTGTTAAAGTACTTTTTATTTTTCTGTTAGTTATGAAAGCTTTCATTTGCATTTGTTTGACTTTTGTTTTGTGTTCAGCTCAACACTTCCTGCATGCCTTAAGTCAAAGTCACGGCTGTCAGTAGTCACTGCCACTCATCGTACAGTTACACGTCGAGTTCTTAGGTTCACAGACACGATCTGCATTAGGTAAGAGGTGGAACACGTCAACTTTAAACCCAAAATCAAACATCCAACAGTTCTCAAGAGCCAGCAGCTCCTCATTCAGAACGTTAGCAGAATATCCAATCATTCTCTTACTCGACCACACTTTTGCATCTGTCTTGACTTGATCCCATTAAAGGGTTAGTTTGCACTGAAATGAAAATTCTGTCATCATTTACTCACCATCATGTTATGCCAATACCATAAGTATACACTTATACACATCAAAAATGATTACTTGGATTGATTTTTTTTAAAGCTAAGTTGTTGTTAACAGTTTATTTGGGCTGAATTTAAGCAAACAAATAAGGTTAACCCTTACTTAATTTAACCCTTTTGAACTGTTCAAATTTACTACCCTTTCGTTATATCTGAGATGAAAAAATCCACTGAGTTAAACTGCTGTTAAAATGAATCAGATAATTTTTTTTTTCAAATGTTTTTGCATAAATCTGTTAATCAACCTCAGTCCTGATCAAAACTACTAAATTGTTCAGAAAATTACAGGATTGTAACTCTTTAATTGTCAAGTTCACAAATGATGTCACTGATTTGGTGAAAAAAAACACACAAAATTATGTATTTTCTATTTAAAATGTAATTGTGGATGGCATGCATCAAAACTGCATCAAAGCCAATGCTGTTACTAATCGTTCACATGTCCAAGACTTTGATTAAAGATTAAAAATAAAATCCAGTCCACAATTACTTTTTATATTAATAATATGTCATTTTGTATGTTTTTTTCACCAAATCAGTGATATCATTTATGAATTTGGCAATTTAAGAGTTAAAATCCTGTAGTTTTCAAAGCAATTTAGCAATTTTGTTCAACATTGAAGTTTTCACAGATTTATGCAAATGTTTTTTTTTTTTTTTTTTTTATCTGATGCATTTTTCCAGCAGTTTAATTCAGTGGATGTTTTCATCCCTATTATAATAAAAATGTTTGCTCAGAGTGTATTGTTGAGTTAAAATATATATACATATATATAAATATTCAAAGCATTTTCTCAAAATATGTGTCAAAATTAGTTGTCCCCAAAAATCATTCTGCTAGCTGAAAAACAGAAAATGTTATGGCCAAATTAAGATTCAGAATTCCCCCGGAGTGGATGAAAACGTTAACATCACTACACAAGGGTTAATTTGTTTGTTTGAATTCAACCCATATAAATAGTTAGCAAACATTTAGCAGAAATTTTTTTTCTGTAATTAGTTCATCTTCAGAACACATTTACAGATTTATTTTGTGTGTGAAAGAGAATTATGTCGCTGCATTGAAAGTCTATTCACTCAAAACGTTTATAAAGAGGTCAAAAATTGCATGACTAGAAATATGATAACCTTATATGACGAACATATTCGTTTTAGCATTTATTGATAAAGAAATTGATTGAAACTGGAATCTAAAGCATGCTTGTTTGATGTATGAGAGCCAATGAGGTACATACTCGTATTTCATGTGACATGTTTGAATTTCTGGAAGAACCAATATGGCTTTTTTGTGCATATGGTTATGGTTCATCTAAGAAAAGCTTAATTTAATATTTTAATTTATCTTTATTTCTATTGCACGTTTACAATGTGTTTACTATGTTAATCTTTGTCAGAACAGTTTAACATAGATAGAGAAAAGAGACAACATTTTAGATATATTCAGGAACCTTCTCACATATCAGGCAGACAGTAGAGTGGTAGAATGCTGGTGTAGTTCTAGTCACATGAAATCAGTTCAGTTTAATATAATTGTACCTGTTGTTCATCATATAAAATGAATTTATCTCTGTTTTTTATCATAAAAAATCAGATTTTTTGGTGAATTGGCTTTCAATGGAGAGACAGAAATATATTTGCTAAATATTTTCAATTGTGTTCTGAATATTAATATTTCTGTGTTTGGAGGATGAGTAAACAATAGCAAAATTTTCATTTCAGAATGAACTATCCCTATTTGTCTTACAGGTTTACATTTCATTTGATTTCAGACCTAATGTTTTTGTTCTTTGTCATTTTCCTATCCTCTTTTTTCCCCTTCTCCTTTCTCCATTGGATGGCATGTTGTGACCCTAGTGATCTGCAGCCCTCTCTTGACAGGGTTAGAAGTGCTAGTACCAACTGTCTGAGACCAGATTCTAATTCCAATTCACCTGATCGAGAAAGGTACTCTCTTTGAATGGCCATATTCTAATTTTGCTGAACTTGCCAGTAATATCATTTAAAAATGTTGAAGGAAACTCTTAGACTACCTATTTGTGGTGACATTTGAACGCTACAATCTCTGGGTCTCCTTCACTAATGTACACACACACACACACACACACACACACACACACACACACACACACACAGCATATTAAACGTGTGTGAATTTAGAAATCTAAAATACATAGGAAAGATTTTTCTGTTAAAATAAAGTATAAAATGTTGGAATTTTTAATTTAAAATATTGAAAACCCACTAGAATGAAGTTGTACAAATAGTTTTTTTTAAGTTTGTTTCAAATTTTCAACAAAAACAATTAGGAGAAAATAGCAGTTTTAACAGGTGACATGGCATGGATCATTGGATCATGTGTCAGTGATACTGTATTATAACACCTTTATCTTTGAATCTTGGTTTTAGATAAGAGATTTGGAGGAAAAGCGAATCAATATTAGCATTTCCTAGATGGATTAAAATAAGTAGACTGGAGAGAATCATCCATTCTTTATTAGCCTAAGATTGTATGAATGTTCATTTGCAATCTTTCAAGAACATACAAATTTACATTAAACATAACACTCATAAAAACTTTTAAAAGTCAAAATCATAGGGATTTTGTTCCAGACAATGTATAAATAACATGTCAGTGCTAAATCTTTTTAACGATTTTTAAAGACTAAAGTTTGAAGAATGTTCCTTCTGTTCTTCTATTTAACACAACGATATTTTGAAGAATGTTGGTAACATTTTTATTATTTTTATTTTTTTGGAAATAAATAATGTCTGGTTACCATGTTTTACAATATCTTCTTTTGTAGTAACTAAAGATAGATTTTTTCAGGATTATGCGATAAATGTATTTTTTTTTTAATCGTCTTTAGTTTTTGTGTGGAAAGCCATTCAAACAATACTAGTTGATGCTAAAGCTGCTAGCACACACTCACTAATTTATAATCTATTTACCTTAGCTACCTGACAAAAGTCTTGACGTCGATCCCAGTTGTAAGAGCAACAAATAATAACTTGACTTCTAGTTGATCACTTAAAAAAGTGTGAGAAGATAGATTTTACAGTGAATAATCAGATGAACAGCATCGCAATCATCACAAATTCTGCAGAAGATTGTAACCCACATGGACCCAAGAATCTCACAGAAATCAGTCAAGTTAGATGAAGGAAAAATAATGGTTTTGGAGTTACATTCAGTATGGGGGCAAGTGAGAGATCTGCTGAGTAAATAGCAACATCAACAGCCTGGGGTACCTAGACATTTGCTGCCCATTACATTACAACCCACAGGAGAGGGCAAATTGTTCAGCAGGATAGCACTCCTTCTCATACTTCAGCCTTCACATCAAAGTTCCTGAAAGCAAAGAAGGTTAAGGGCCTCCAGGATTGGCCAACTCAGTCACCAGGCATGCACATTATTGAGCATGTGTGGGATAAGATGGAGGAGGAGGCATTGAAGATGAATCCAAAGACTCTTGATAAACTCTGGTAGTCCTGCAAGAATGCTTTTTTTGCCATTCCAGATGACTTTATTAATAAGTTATTTGAGTCATTGCAGAGATGTCAGACAAGTCATACACAATATTAATTATTTTTCCACTGCTCCATGACTCCTTTATATTCTATACTGTACATTATTTCTGTTAAGTGACAAGACTTTTGTCTAAGCAAAGTCAGACCTTACTGTCCTAATTAAATAATTAAAAATCATGGCATGATCATATATTATTTTGGTAAAATAAGCAAATCTAGTGGTCTTTGCCTTTCATATAAGCCACTTCTAATACCAATTGATCAACTAGAAGTCAAGTTATTGTTCTTAAGACTTGGATAAGCGACAAGACTTTTGTCAGACTACTACTGTGCACAGTCGCAATCATTAGTGAATGAAACCCAGTATGTCTATGTCAATGTTAACCACCGTTGGCTACCCACAATGCACTGCTCTGTTAGCGTTCAGATGACTCTTTATGGTCTGACATCTCGATTTAGCCTCTTTAAAAGGTAGCGTTTATGCAAACCCAATAGCAGGACAAGTGTCAAAAAATGAGTCCCCTAAATCTGCACATCTTCTATGTTTAAGATGATCATTATAAAAGTCTCTATATTGACCTCCTGTGTTTCTTTGGGTGTTTGTGTATCACACACACATACATTCACTCACACAGGAGCACGCAGTCTCTGCCCCGTACCAGACCCATGAGCCCCAGGATCCTAATTCAGCATGCCTCCCCAGAAGACGACAGGTATCCCTCCTGTCCTCCTGTCTTGCTGCTAAACCCCTCCGCTCTTCTAACCTGTCCGTCCCGGTTCTGACATTGGACTAGATCGTAGTTTTGCTAACCCTCCAGCCTCCTGTAGCTTCTGACCTAGAGCTTGCTGTGACCTGATCATTTTAGCACTGTGTTTTGTAAATTCTTTCTTTCTTTCTCAGCTGTTCAGTAGTTTTCCAAGTGTGTTGACTTGTGGCTTTTGTGGTGTGGTGTGGTGTGGAGTGGTGTGTTCTGGTGTTTTTACTCTGGATTTCATCAGGTTGCATTTAGTTCTGATTCTGTAGACTATAAAGTGTTCCCTTGTTATCCCTTGACTACAGTTTTATGCTTTTATTTTTTTTTTTTTGGGGGGGGGGGGGTATTTTGATACAGTCTCACACTTATGGTGTCTCTAAAAAGTATGTTAACACATAGAAATGTTTGAATTTTTTACATTACATAAAGTATTATCAAGCCAAGTGATATTTATGTATTTTAAAGTGCACATTTCAGGAAAATTAATTCACACAATCCTAAAGTTCTCGCTTTAAAGGGGTGGTCTACTACCATATCATATTTTTAACTTTAGTTGATGTGTAATGTAGATGTGTGAACATAACATCTCTGAATGTAATACGCTTTTTAATACGCTGAATGTATTTGGCTTTTACAGAGTTAGCTAAGCAAAGCCTACAAAAGCCTGTAAATGAAGTGTGGGGACTGCAAAAAATATATCCAGTTTACTGAGATCACAAATGCTTTTGCATTCACCACACGCATACACCTAGCGGAGCAAAGGGGCGTGGCTAGAGGCGCTGTAATTTTATAGCAAAGAAAGCTAAAAAGCCGTCCAAACGCTGCTATTTCCACAGAGCTTGTTCTATTTCTGTATTTGGACTTCCAAAGGACACAACACAAAGAGAGAGGTGCTTACAGTTTAATCTTAATTATGTTCCAGAGAATTATAAAAAATATATAGCTAGCATTTGACAAAGGAGAACTTCCAGAAACTCCCAGTTAGTGCTGGATTCGGCTAAAAACTCTGCAAAGAAGGAGCAGCTCCAACCATAATAGACAAAACTGTGGATTGTGGATTTTTTTTTATTTGTTAAAACCGATCTATTACATGCATAGTGTCTAGCGTTAACGGTATGTTGTAGCAAGGACGTAAACAATGTAGCTACAAATTCATATTTATCCATCAAACCACTGTAAACAGCCAACAACAAAACAATCTTCACCAGCGCTGCAGTGTCTCTCTATCAGCTGCTTTCCCTGTGTTCTACATCTCAAATAACTAACTCACAAAAGATATGTGAGTGTTTCACATTACTTACATATGCTTATAACTTGTCAGATTAACACTTGTCAGATTTAATTTTGGAGAGCAGGCGTGAGGTTCAACTGTGTCCTCTGTCATTTTCTGTCTGATTCAGGCACAAACTGATACGGCTAACAATTACTCTGACTGACAGTGTTTACACAATGCAAAAGCACATGCTTGTAGGGGCGTGGCAATTCCTGGTGGAGCTGATCTGCGTATCACAGCATATCATGTTAGCTAACCAATCAGAGCCTCTTGAGGGCAAGCTTTCAAAGGAATGAGAAAATATGACAGTTGCTTTCTTGTTAGTTAAGTAGCAGTATATAGTTAAGGTTTATGGAAAAATAACCTGATTTTTTACAAATGAAGCATGAGCACACATTGCTTTGCATCTTATAAACACAACCAAGCCTTAAAATACACTCTGGACCACCCCTTTAAATCTCCAATCAATATTTTAAAAGAAAAATATTTCACAGAAGGGTTAATGATTTTGACTTCATCTATAAAATTTTTTTGGAAGAAAATCATAATTGGCTTGGATGAAAAAATAATGGCCAGCACGTTTTATCAAATCATCCAAATATTCAGTTATTACCAACACTGTAAAAAATTATATAAACAATTAGTCATGACAGCATATGCTTTTTGTTCATTGTAACTTATTAAACTAAGTTAATCTTGTTCTAACTTAATATTAGTTATTTAAAAAGCTATAAGTCAGTTTAACAAAATAAGTTCAGTGGACTTCAATAAGGGTCATTTGACTCATCATTTGACTCAAATGAAAGCCAACCAGGATATTTTTATAGTGCAGGTATGTATTTTAGTACTGTATACTATACAGTATATACAGTATTATGCAAATATAGTACTATTAACTTAATTTTAAATAGTTCATAATAAATTCATTCTGTGATATTCAAACATTTTAATTGTTTAATATATTTTGGGGCACTGTATTATTTATTTATTGAAATGTTTACTTAAAACTGCAGGATATGAAAAGTCACATATGCCAAATGTGACCACTGACGCATAAGAGTCAAGTGTCTGTGTTCAGTAAAAATTTACCATATGTCTTGTGTACTGTATGTGTTTTAACATGTTATTGCTTTCTTTAGTACGTAGCCACTAAAGTAAAGTGGCGTGATTCAGCACTGTTTCATTAACATCATCCAGCCATATATACTGTATGTGTGTGTGTGTGTCTATGTGTTCATGCCACTCACATGTGTTTGCCCTGATCGTATGAATCAGCTGGGTTTTGGAGGCAATGTTCCCCGCTCAGGAGACACTGCACCACCTCAGTGCAAAGCCAGACCCACAGAGGTACAAACTCACGGGACGAAAAAAAAATACACCTCCATCTCCATCCATCCTGCCATTTTATTAGACAAAAGATTAATTTACTGTTCGTCCAGTCTTGCATGAATCCACTCTTCATTCTTTTTATTTTCTGTCTCGCCTCCATCATCTCCATGTTGCAGGCAGTCAAGAGCTCTGGACAGGCCGAGCTGTCAGAAACTTGGCAGGAAAATGTCTGACAGCGAGCGGTAAGACTTATCAAATCATCTCATGTCACGTCACATTTGCATTGCTTGTTCATTGTGCTGTAAGTGCTATATACTGTCCCAGTGTTAGACAGGGTTTAGTACAGGAACTAATCACGCTTATTTCACACTGGATTAAAATTATTTTTTTATTCTTGAATTAGATTGGAGTATTTTTGACTGGGGGTACAAAGTTAAATATTAAGCATGTTTATGTAGAGATGGTTGAAAAGACTGAAAGGTGCAACAAAAACATCTGAAATGACAAAAATTACCTGTGGAAATATAGAAAATATGGAAAAAATAATGTTATTTTAAGTCCAAATAAATAATATATTGGGAAAGTATGATAGCCAGTATATTTTGAAACTGAAATTAAGAGGGTAGAAAACTTGAAAGATAAACAAAATAATTATATAAACATATATTGTATACTCCCATTCATATACAACATAATTTATTAAATGTAAATTGTAAAAGCAACAATATAGAAAACAATTACATAAAATTGAGTGTAGAAAATCTTATTATTTTATAAGGTCTGTTTTAATAGAATAAAATTTAATTGTAACTATATTGTTTTTTTTGCATATATATATATATATATATATATATGTATATATATATATATATATATATATATATATATATATATATATATATATATATATATATATATATATATATATATATATATATATATATATATATATATATATATATATATATATATATATATATATATATATATATATATATATATATATATGTGTGTGTGTGTGTGTGTATATATATATATATACATATATATACATATATATAAACAGTGGCTCAGTGGTCAGCACTAACACCTCACAGCAAGAAGATTGCTGTTTGCTGGACCAGTTGGCATTTCCATGAGGAGTTTGCATGTTCTACCTGTGTTTGTGTGGGTTTTATAGTATTTTGTTGGTATTTGAACTAAATTGGCCGTAGTGTATGAGAGTGTGTGGGAATGAGTGTGCATGGTTGTTTCCCAGTACTGGGTTGCGGCTGGAAGGGCATCTGCTGTGTAAAACATATGCTGGAATAGTTGGTGGTTTATACCACTGTGGCGACCTATGAAATAAATACTAAGAGGAAGAAACATGAATAAATGTTGGTATAGAGATATAGACTGACTCTTCTCCAATGACAAAAAACTGAAGGCCAGTAGATTTTTCCCCCAAATTGATTTAGTATAATGTACTGTGTTATGCTTTTGAATATATTTTAGGTGTTATGTGGATTGTTGATGGTTTTCACCCTCAAACATAAGTGTTTCTTCATACATTCACACTCTTTTATCTGTCTATTTATGTGGCTTTTCCACCTATTTATTATATGATTTGTCACTTTTTTGTATCTTATATGTTGCTTTTATCACTGGCCGCAGCCTTCAGCCCACATCCATTCTAAAGGGCTCCCGCAGGAAGAGGGTCTTGCTGCCTCCATTGGGTAAGGTGACCCGAGAGGGACTCAACCTCAGGCTCACCCCAAATGGACAAGTGCTGACCTTAATCAAAGCCTTGTGACCAACCCACCTCACATCCACTCTAAACACCTTGTCATTGCTATAATCTCTGCTGATTTTTTGCTCTATCTTCTTAAATGTTTTAGTAGTTGCTGCTTTTGATACTGAAAATCCATCCATCCTTATCACCTACCCACAGCTATCGGTTTCTTCCCATATCATCTTTCACAGTTTACTGCTATTTTTTTCATTGGTTTCACACCCTCCTCTCTTGTACTTGTTTGGCTTTCCTTTTGGCTCTTTGCAATGATACGTATCAAATGTGTTTAATAATATAACCGAATCATGCAGGAATTGTTTCGGTAAGGACATGACAAAATGAGTACGTCTTCATGCTGTTTATAATTTGGTTCAGACTGGATGACGACTGGTGACATTTGTACTGAATATAATTTTATGCTAAAAGTATCCTTGGTTGTTTTGTGTTTTTTCTTTTTTCTCTCTCCTCCATCAGGGTGCAACCACACTCCAGCCCCGCATTCTCATCATCAACAGCAGCAAATTCATCCGCACGCAAGGTCAGACAGCTTCCCCAAGTCCCCGCCAAAAGCAGCAGTGTAGAACAAGGTATAATTGTTGTGTGTTGACCTGTTTTGGTTGGATTTGTTGAGTAGATATGCAACTTAAGATATTCTGATCTTAAAATTTGTTTATTACTTATGTATCAGCTCTTGCGTCAGAGGAGCGAACGCGGCAAATGAAAGTACGAACCTTTCGAACACCAGCTCCCTCCAGTACCAGCCAGGACCTGGAGAGGGCGCTCAAGAATAAACGAGAGGTAGGAGCACAACATTGAACATCATGTTTATATACACCAGGGGTGGCCAACCCTGAGCCATCTTCCTGCAGATTTCAGTTGCAAACCATATCAAACACACCTGAATGTAATTGTCACGTGGTGTTCAGGTCCTATTTAATTGGTTCAGGGGTGTTTGATATGGGTAGCAACTGAAATCTGCAGGAAGGTGGCTCTCCAGGAACAGGGTTGGCCACCCCTGATATACACTACCTGTTGTCAAACTTTTTGAAAGAATGCTTTTAATTGCTCACGTAATGGAAGCCAGATACTGTAGGTGGGTTTAGGCATGGGTAGTGGCCAATATGGGCGATCGTCCAGGGCAGCATCTTGCTAGGGGCAGCATGAAGCAAGAAACCACCTCCCCCCCAAACCCCAACCAGCCCCCTCCCATACCCTACCCCCATCAAACTCCCCCACCCCCCGCTCCTCACTTTGTCTGCAAGACAGCCTAGGACCCCCATCCATCCCGAATTCTAAACCCCAGCCCCAAGCCGCTGATCACTTTCATCCGCCATCACCTACCGTTGTGCCCCACCTTCTCTCTTCTTTTTCGTGAGGGTGGTATGAACACTGTGTGGGCAGCATGGTCGTCATTTGCCTAGAGCGGCACTTCAGCTTGCTCCAGTACAGGGGGTGGGTATTAAGGGCATCCCAATACATAATTTTGCCAATACATAAACTCATTATGTTTTCTTTTGAGATCAGGCTGGTCAGCTTCACTCCCCTCACCTCAAGGGGCACACTAGTTATTAGAACAAAAGTGTTCACAATTTTTTTGCCCATACGTAAAATAGTTATGCTTTGTCATGAGATCAGGCTGGTCAACCTCACTTCCCTGACCTTAAGATGCACACTTGTTATTAGAGCAGGAATGTCCAATCCTGCTCCTGTAGCACTAGCATCCTGTAGAATCTTTCTCCAACCAGCGAAATGCATAGGACTTAAACTGTGTAAGTGGTTTGATTACCTTTGTGTTAGAGGCTACTGTATTTAGCATCTTTGCTGGTGTGCTTGCCTTCCATGCCAGAAACCAACAACCTCTCAGGGGTAAGTAAATCTGGAGGGGTAAGATTGGTGCCGTTACCCGGACGAGAGGGGGGTTTAGTTGGGTTGAGTGTGATGGAGGCCAACTGGTTGGTGCTGACCTCTGGCATATTGCCCTCAAGAGGTGCACAAATGAGTAACTCTGGAGTCTGGATGCAGTCTTTAGTATCCTGGTTTGTGTACTAGCTCCCAAACACTGGTTCATGAGAGTGCAAGTACAACCAGTGAGGTTACATTGTTTCAATGAAACCTTTTGTAACTTTGCAATGGTCTTTGACTGTCACTTTTACAGTCATACAAAATCATACTCAACTAAAAGTACCATTACTTGCCTAAAAATGTACTGCAAGTAAAGTCTGTTGTAAATATTCCTCAAAGTATAAGTAAAATGTAGCTCTTTTAAAAGTACTCGAGTAGTGAGTGATGAAAGTTACACTGTAAATGGCTGATGCATCTGTGTAAACGTAACATTCTGTAGTCCATTTATACAGAATACATTCATCATCTTCTCATCAGTGACAATCAGTCTAAACAGTCTCTTGGCCATTGCGGGTAACAATTTTGGACATATTCTTGGACACTTTTAATACTTTCAAAAATTTGCTGCATGTCTTAAAGTAGTTCAGTATGATGTGAATTACTATCTACGTATGATTTGATTGGACAGAAATCACAGGACTGATATTTTTAATCCGCATAGGCAGGAAAAAATAAAGTAGTGACTGTAGGTTGAAGGAAAGTAGTGGAGTAAAAGTACAAATACTGCACTAAAAATGTACTCAAGGAAAAAGTAAAAGTACACATTTTGAAAACTAAGTAGTAATTACTTAATTACAGTTATTTGAGTATTTGTAATTTGTTACTTTACACCACTACACTTTTACTAACTAAATGCATTCTTGCTGCATAAAAATTATCACAGAAATGTGATTTTTTTTACTCAAATCTAAAATGTTTACAAAGTTTCTGTGTAATTTATTCCATTAGCTTTATAAGGAGCAGCGAAGGAGTTGTGACAATGTGTCCCATAAGTCCTCAGACAGTGATGTCAGTGACGTGTCAGCCATCTCTCGTGCCAGCAGTGCCTCGCGGATCAGTAGCACCAGCTACATGTCCATTCAATCAGAACGACCCAGGGGTCGCTTTAGGTGAGATGCACGCTACAGCTATTATTACACAGGACTGTTGTACTGTATATAGTAACATTTTTATATTCTTTGACACCTTTTTAATGATGATGCTATTTATTTCTGCTTTATTTTTGGGCGTTATTTTATAAGAGGTTAAAAAAATCTGTTCAGTTATAGCTGCAAATAATCTGCAGAGAAAACTTGTATTTTAAATTGCACTATTTCACAACTTATCAGTTTTTATGATATTGTTCAATAACTAAATGTAGTGTTGGTGACTTTCAGACTTTAGCCTTGTAAATCAAACTCTTTAATATGAAAACAGCAATGAGAAAAATCCTGTTTTCAATTATGTATCCTTTTTAGCTGTTCTCGCAGCAGTCTTTTCCATGATGTGTCATCCTCCGACTTTTATGATTTTCTGTAAACTGCCTTTGCTGTGTTTTTCCTTCCTACACCAGCCGTCATATTCGTCCATCCAGCCGCAGCATGCTGAAGAGTACGAGTGTCAGTGGGGAAATCTATACTCTGGAGCGTACGGATGGCAGCCAGTCAGATACTGCTCTGGGAACACTGGGATCAGAAGGGAAGAAGCGCAGATCCAGCCTTAGCGCACGAGTAGTCGCCATCGTGGGCATCCCCTCCCGCCGCAGCAGGAGCACCTCTCAGCTCAGCCAGACAGGTCAGAGACTTCCAGATTTGACAGAAAACACTAAACACCAAAGATGCTTAAATCTTTTTTGCATTTTATTAGAAAGCACTGAACAACAATAAAATAGAACCATGAAATATATTTAGTATGATAAAACAGTGATTAGTATGAATTAGTAGGGTAAAACTGGACTTTATTGTGGCATAATAAAAGCTCCTCTTTTGAACCGTATCACGCTCGTCTATCATCAACAATTGCTTCAGTGGTCTTGTTTAATAATCTTCAACAACTTTTAGCCTTACTCCGCTTGGAACTATCATGATAAAAAAAATTTATTCTTTAGCTCATCTATAAACTTGATGAATCTCGAAGGATGTAATGAAGATGACAACTCCCACCATTCCATACTAAGTTACAGCATCATCAAAAATACACCTTTGTTTAGTATGAAAATGTTCCTTCTAGTGGCAAACATTACATTCTTTAAAGGGATAATTCACCCAACTATGAAAATGACCTTCTTTATTTGTCCTCATGTGATTTTAAACGTTAATGAGTTTCTTTATTAAGCACAAAAGAAGACACTGAAAAATGCTGGTTGCTAAAACCCACTGACTTCAATTAGGGCTGCATAATATATCGTTCAAGCATCGATATTGTAATGTGATCATTCGCAGTAGTCACATTGCAAGTTTATACAATGTTGAGTATGAATTATAACTGATCATTCCGCAAGTGTATTTTGAGGCATGTAACTGTGTGTGGGTTTTAAAGCATTCAGGCCTAAGGAAATGTATCGTTTGTAACTTTATAACGATTCATTTTATGGAATTGTTTATAAAACGAAGACTATTTGGTATCATTTTACATTTGATTTATCAATTACTGTATACCTGAATACATTTCGACTCTTTAGAAAACAATAAAACGTTGTATAGTAGCATTTTCTTTCTTTATTAAATCTATCTATTGCTTATTGCAATAAGCAATATTATACTGCAATATTATAATATCTGTAGAGCTGCACATCGATAGTCTGCTCTTCAGTGTTTGGACTATCAGTAGTGATTATTAAACTGAACTGAACTTAAACTCTGAAAACTGAACTACACTGTTTCAATTTACTATGATCTTCTATATGAAGCTGCTTTGACACAATATACATTTTAAAAGTGCTATACAAATAAAGTTGAATTGAATTGAATTATTATACAAATATTGTGCGCAATAATATAAATATTATGCTTATTATACAAGACTTATTGTGCTCAAGTGCCATTCCAATAAACTTTAATTATATTTTATGCACTCCCCTACATAATCTTTGCAATCAATCTAAAATTATAGATTCCTTACAAACATTTATTCAACTCATCTAATGAAATTCTATTCATATCTCAATATTTACTGCAGAATAAAAAACTATTGCAATGTGTATTTTTTAAAGTACCATGCAGCCCTAACTTTAATAGTAGTAAAAAAATATCATGAATTGGGGCCAGCTACCAACATTTTTCGAAATATCTTCTTTTGTGTTCAACGGAAGAAAGAATCTTAAATAGGTGAAATAATGACAGTTTTAATTTTGTATAAACTATCTCTTTAACAAAGACTTTAAAAATTCTGATCCCTTTGAAAATACTCCTGGAACCAGTGCTGCTGATAAAACCAGGACACTAATGCTCCCTATTTCAAATATTTACATTCTGAGTAGGTACTAGATTTGAATTTGAATATACTTTGGGCTTGTAAAAAGGTTTTGCTTCACAATTCACACTCACAGATATTTGACAGATTAGAATATGTGTATTTGGCGTGCTGTCCGAGGGAGGGGCTCTGAGCTCAGAAAGACAGCCTAGTTTGTGTTATTCCCCTTATTAGGATAGAGAGATAGAGGTCTAAGCACAGTGTTTAGCCCAGCTCTAGAGCGTTCCACCCTCAGATTTATGTAGGTATCAGGATTAATAGTGTGGAGTTGGGGTGGTGGAGGGATGCTAAAGTCGAGAGGTATGATGTGTTTGACTATTTATAGGGGTTTGTTCTTAAGCTGATTGTATAATAGATAATGAATTAGCCTCATCAAAACTGATTATGCTTCCCCTGAAATTTCATCACCTTAGAATTATAAGGCTCTATCTGACATTTTTGTCAAAATTAAGTTATTGACATTCTTATTAAATTATAACTTATTTACATTATGGGATGTTTTTTATAAGTTGTTTACATTTTACGATTTCTTTATTGTCTGCTATGGAATGCGAAATCTTTGAATTTCAATATCCCAAAATTATTCAGAAGGCAGATAGAACCTTAGAATTCCAAGGTGACGATTTGTTTACAAAACATCACATACAGTAGTATGAATATTGGTTAGAATGAATGACATTCAGACATACTACTTTGGCTATGTTATTATCATGTGACCTACTTACAGTATGTTGCTCTACTGCTCTTAATAAATTCTCTCCCATAGCCTCATGGGATATTAAAGTGTCCATCAGATGCATACATCAGAATCTTGCTTGTTTTAACAGTCTAAGTTGTAGGGAAGTATTGCATTTTGACCTTAGTGGCAGGTTGCTTTAAAGAAAAATGGCGCATATCTTGGACAGACACAAATCGTGAGCATCATTTATAACGATAAGTCGAATTATTCTTTACAGAATGTACTACAGTTACTGAATTGTTCATACAAACAATTTATAAACCAATATCATGCAAAACAAAATTATTCTTAAATGCAAACTACATCTTACATTGAAGTGCATTATATACAAGTGGATCAACTAAATCTATGGTGCTTGATGTAATGTACTTTTGTGCATTTAATATTAATGCATATAGAACATCATTCTATATTGATCTGTTCATTTTAATCAAAGACAGTAGGATTCGATTACTGGTATGAGTCCAAAAACATGTAAATGTGCCCATGCTCTTCACTTGGCATTAAATGGTTTCTATTAATAAATCCCGATTTAATCATATTCAGTTTTACATTTAGTCTATATTATAGGGAAGAATAACATTTTGACTGTAGTGGCAGATTGCTTTGAATACACATCTTGGACAGACACATAGATAGTGAGGATCATTTATAACCATAAGTCAAATTATCCTTTACAGAATGTACGCCAGTTTTCTGAATTGTTCCTAACACTTTATAAACCAATACCATGCACAACAAAAATATTCTTAAATGTAAACTGCATCTTACGAATAAGTGCATTGTATACAAGGATGGGCAAAGATACTGTACGATACTGTATGTATTTCAAAATAAAATACATAAAAATAAACTACAAAATACAGCAGCCACAACATGTATCAAAATAAAATAGGGTATTTTTGTATCATTGTATCATTGAAAAAAATTAAGGCCTTTTATTTCCATTAACCCTATCAAATACAAATTACTAAATACTTGAAAAACAAATACAAATTTGAAATACATGTATCATAAATACTGCCCATCCCTGATTGTAAACCAGTAGATCAACTAAATCTATGGTGCCTTATGTAATGTTCTTTTGTGCGTTTAATATTAAAGCATATTAAACACCATTCTGTATTGATCTGTATATTTTAATCAAAGACAGTTGGATTGTTTCAGTAACTGGCATGAGTCCAAAAAGACACACATGCTCTTCAGTTAATTTTTAATTAATAAATACAAATTTTATCACATTTGATTGTACATGCATTAGAAATAATTGAGCCCCCATAACTATTATACATATTGTTCCTAATAAAAACACATATATTTCAATCTAAATCAGTCTGCTCGCTGTTTAACATACTAAGGAGGCCCTTTGAAGATGACTTCACTCCAGTAACATTCATTGTTCTTTTACATTCACATTATTTTCTAACACAGATAGAGGTTTGTTATCTTTGAGTTTTAAACATAACTGTTAAGAATTCTTACAAACATAAAACCCAAAGAAATATACATGTCACAGATATTGTGAGTTCCTTATTCTCTATTAGTGTATCTTAAAGCGCCCTCTGCTGGTAACACAAAACATAACAAAACATAAAATCACCAGTCATTACAGCCAGAAAAAAACCTCTATATCTTTCCTATCATTGAGAAGATGTTAAATAGTAATATTATTAGTTTCATTACAACCGAAAGCCATTGAAAATCATCCCCAAAATAGTGTCTCGCATGTTAGAATGGCACTTTCCTGATTTCCCTTGGTTCAGACCATTTTTCAAGACCCCTGGATCTCTTTTACTCAGTCTTTCTGCTTTAATTTGTTTTCTTATCTGTCTGCTATCTGTCTCTGTTTTCTTCGGGTTACTCTTGTCTTGTGGATCTGTGTATCAGGTTGTTTTCTACCTTGTTTCACCTCTTAAAGCAGCATTTGTCTTCAGTCTCCGTTAAAGCGTCTGAAAGTATGAATGGCAGCATGTTAACACTGGCAGAAGTTCACTCTGTCAGGTGCAGATCAAGCCCGAATTCCTATCAGATGTAATGTAGATAAATGCCTTTGAAGTTGGATCTGATATCCTCTAAAATCTCATATTTTAAGCACCGTCGGTTTATAGTTTAATAAATGGATTGCTGAAAAAAGAAACAAATTCAAAAAGGATGGCAAAAGAAGTTTTTTTGGCACCACTTGCTGCCAAGCACCTGGATAATATCTTAAAAGGCCTATCGGATGATAAATCAGAGAGTTGCAAAGATGCGATAAATCAGCATTTTAAAGAGCTCCGCTGTTCTGTAACAGCTGTTCCACGCTCTGCCCACCGCATCCATTCACAATCACAGCCAAAACTAAAAATACCTTATGAAACACTCTATGAATACATAAACACTTTAGGTATTGTGGATCAAAAAACATTTGCTCATTGTGCAGCGTGGATATTTATGCGTATGCTAATACATTTTTGTCATTGTATAAAGTAAAGGCTATGTTGATTCTAAAATCAACATTTAATCACAATTTTCTTGTCCATAAGTGGTGCCTTTATGCGTTCTTTCTTCTGTTGAACACCAAAGAATATATTTTGAAGAAGGCTAAACATGTGTAACCATTGAGTTGGAAAAACAAATAGTATTGAAGTCAATGGTTACAGGTTTCCAGCTTTTATCAAAATATATTGTTTGGTGTTCAACAAAAGAAAGAACTCATAAAGGAACCACTTATGGACAAGAAAATAGTGAGTAAATGTTAATTTTTGGGTGAACTATCCCTTTACTTTTAATTCATACAATAACAAAAAAGTATTTGTAAACGCATAAATCAGCCAATTCGAACGTTATCACTCGATTGAATGGCAGTTATCAGTGGTTAAGGGCTGATAGATATGGGCCAGTAAGGGCCTTCTGAGCCTACCTGTTATCATCTATTCAGATGGTTAATCAGCTACAGATCACATATGGCTGCAGCCAGCAGTTAACAAGAATTATTTATATTTTTTTAATAAATTTCCCATTATTTGTATTTTAATAACGTCTACCCCTACCTTAACCCTAAACCCAACTGCCACATTAATGTCAAAAGAGCTGGATCTGGAGTCTTCACTATTAGTATAGATTGAGTAACCATGTGGATGGATTATAACATACCAGTAGGCGCAGAAGGCCCCTTACTTGCCCATATCTATCAGCTGATAACCATTGATAACGCCCATTCAGTCGAGTGATATTGAATCTGGTACAGCATAAATTACCATGCCACACAATAAGCAAATGCGTTCTTAATCCACAATACCTAAAGTGTAGTACTGAAGTAAGACACTCATAAAGGTTTGGAACAAGTGAAGGGTGGGTGAATAATGACAATTTTTTGTGTGTGAACTATTTTATGTATTGGATAAACATGAATTAACACTGTAGCAATTTATTAAAATCACAAATCAAAAGTTTGGAGTCTTGCAGGGTATTTTTCTAATGTTTTTGAAGTCATTCAAACTTACTCAAAACTCCTTGTATTTTAAATGCACACAAAAATATAGTATTTGGCATATCATTATAGTTTTAATATTTTATGTTTTAATATTTATATATTTTAAAATGTAAAAAATAAAAAAAATAAAAAAATCCTTTGGCAACCATTTTTACACCAACCTTCAACGTCTCATGATCCATTAGAAATAATTGTAGCATGTTGCTTTAGAGCTCAATAAACATATTATTATTTTTAAATACGGTGATTAACATTAACTAATTAAACCTTTTGTGTAAATTGTTACTTTTCTTGATAAATATTTAGCATGAATAAATTTTAGATAAAGTTTTGTTGCTTTTGCTTCTTTTTATTTGTGTTAATTTTAATGTATATATAATTTTAGCAATTTTTTTTCAAAATTCAGTTTCAATATTAGATATTTTAATACAATAAATAAAACTTTTCAAAGTTTATAAATGATTTATTTACATTCTGTATAATATAATATAATATAATATAATATAATATAATATAATATAATATAATATAATATAATATAATACATAAAATTCATTTATTATTTAAAATATTCACATTTTCTTTCAATAATAATTATTTTAGTACATCAAGTTTAACCAAATGAAAATGAGCAATGTTATTAGCCAATTGCTGGAATTCTTTTTTAAATAATTGTATTATTTATATTGATTAGTTATTTTAGTATATTGTTTAGCTGAAATATAAAATGCAAATATTTGTATTCTTATTGTTTTTTTATTTTAGTTGTTTTATGTATGTTTTATTTTGTGTATGAAGTTTATTTATTTTTTTTTTTATTTCAAACTTTGGTTAGTGTTGTAGATGCGAAACATAACCTGTGTAAATAACTGAAATATAGATTTTTTTGTTGTTGTTAATTTGCTAAATTTAAACTTAATGTAAAAATGCTAATTTAAAAAGCGTAAGAAACGTTGCACTTGCACATTTCTGCACTTGAGAGTATAAAAGAACATAATTATTGTTTTTTTTATTTTTGTGGAAAACAAAGCTTTTGAGAAAAAAACTTTTCTTTGTTAAACATGAGAAACATAAGAATATAAGAAACAAAAAAATTGTTTGTAACTGTAGTTTTACTGTCACTTTTAATGCATCCTTGCTCCGTAAAAGCTTTATAATATTAACCCTGTGTTCATATTATGAATTTAATTATACATTATGATTATATATCGCAAAAACAGCACAAACTCAGCTCTATTTGAAAGAAACCTTTGCCACAGGAAACTCCAGGTTTAAGTGCTCTTAATGTGTTTTACACAGTAAATTAGTGATTTTTCGGTTGGCCCAGATAATCTCAGAGCTGTGTTGTTTTTGAGAACCCCTAGCTTTTTGTCTGAAAATGTTGTCAGGATAAACCACTGATGATGCTTTGATGAAAGTGAACAAGATGAGCGAAGATATAAATCTCCCTGCAACATTTTTTACTCAAACAACTGGCCTGACAGCGGCTCTGTGCGCCACCTCAGTGCTTGACATTTTCAAAGGATCTGTAATCCATCAAAAGGCCATAAATAGTCAGGATGGTGCCCCATGACGTCCAGCAGGAGATGTTGCACTCACCAGGGGTGAAGAGCGGAGTCTTTGCCTGCAATATTTCCTCCTGACTGACTGCTGTAATAATAGCACACATACTTTAACACCTAGACACACACACACACACACACACACACACACACACACACACACACACACACACACACACACACACACAAACACACACACACACACACACACAGAAATAAAAAAGCTTACATTTTTTCCTTTTACATTTTTGCTTTTTAATTGACAATGTGTGAACAGCTTGGAATAAAAGCAAGATCCCAAATTTCAAGATTGTCTGAGAAGGCCTGTGGACAGATTGCCCATATATATTTGAATTACTTTACTTCATTATATAAACTATAAATATAATTAATAAATTATTATTATTAATAAATATAAATAAACAGCTTAGTTTGCAGTGATCATTTTGCACGGAGCATTATGTAATCTGCTTATTTCACAGTAAATTGTTTGATACATAACATTAGATTATGTATTTAATAAACAAATGTTTTATACGGACTGTAATTAACTTTAATTCTCTGAATGAAAAAGGTCAGTTTTTGGTTATACACATCATAACATACTAAATCTGTTGTGTTACCTGTTGTGTTACTCGCAACAGCAAGTCTCTCATGTCTCCATCTGAAATCACAGATTCTCATGTGCTGCATAATAACATTCCACCCGATGCAGGCATGCTACGACAGCAGAGTTTCTTGTCTATTATGCCAGAAGTTCAAGTTCATTTATTTATAAAGCACATTTAAAAACAGCCATGAGACTGACCAATGTATTGTACATAAGACAAAATAAAATAAAAAGATTATAAAAACATAAAAATACGCCAAGAGAAACAACTGAATCGATTTTAAAAATGAAGCAGTAGAAAGGACTATTAAAATAATATAATGTATAAGAAACAATATAGAGAGAAATAAGTCAATATGTAAATATCAGAACATGTACTGGCCATTTATTACAAGGTTTTTGTACCATGATGTACAACTCCAACCCAGACAGTATATCAATTCACTTGAAGCTATTAGAAATGTTAATAAAAGTCACTTTTTCAAATGTGGCAAGGTTAAAAGTTGTTGGAAGAAAGATCAACTCCTTATAATGCAGCTCTAAAGCATAAATAAATGAGGAAAAATAAAACAAAAACATGAATCACAAAACACGGAAAACTGCTAATTTATGCCTTTTTTTACAGTCACTAGAATTGTTTTCCTAAAAAATGTCCTTTTTGCCTAAGCTTTAAATAGGAAACAATTTTTTGAAAGAAATGCAAATGTCTTATGATTTAATTAATTATGCTAAGCTAAGCTTAAAGTGACTGTAAGAAAAAGAAATCAGTCAACTGTTTATCTGTAGGAAACTTGTAAAAATTATATGTATATATATTTTTTTAAATAGTGGAGTGTTCCTTTAAAAAATCTTTGTCATTGAAGACTTTAATAAGTCCCCCTTTCCAACTTTGTATTTTAATGTTTGTTTTTTTTGCATCCACAGAAGCAGCCAACAAGAAAGCAAAAGGATCCAGTCAGATTCAGCGGAGTCAGGAGACAGGAATGGCAGTGGAGTATCCCCGAAATGTCATGGCCCGACAGGCCAGCCGAGAGTCCACTGACGGCAGCATGAACAGCTACAGCTCTGAGGGCAAGTCAGTATCCAGAGCAGTGGAAACCCTTCTCTGATACACACTTACCTTATACATTAACTATACAGTACATCACAGTTTTGCTCATCTATCTGTCCGCCTTTTGCTTTTCCTACATGTTAGTATATCTAGGCATGTGACATACTTAACCTACATTACTCAGTGCTGTTAGCCGCTTTTATGAGATGTCTCAGCAAACAATTTTGTGTTTAATAGGTGTCTACTAGACATCTTAACGTAGACAGCTTTGCTAAAACTAGGCTAAACATGGGCTGTCAGTGAAAATCTAGATGTCTAAGAATAGCCCAAAATTAGACTAGTCGTCACATGAACAGATTACACAGACTTTATATGTGTAGTCATTTAATTCTGTTTATTTGATGACTAGTCTAGTTTTGGCCTATTCTTACACGTCCATTAGATTTTTACTGACTGCCTAAATTTAGCCCTGTTTTAGCACAGACACCTATGTTAAGAAGTCTATTACACATCTTTTAAAAACAAAAAATGCTTGCTGGGGTGGTATCGGACAAAATTGCAAATCAATCAGGAATAATTGTTTTCAGTTGGGATCTATTTTGGAATTTAGAAAATTGTTGCATCACAGTATATTTTTCTGTGACACTATACAGGACACTACAATGCATTGTTCTGGAAATAAACTAGGTAGTAAAACATACATTTACTGTTTAGTTAAAGCCTAAACATACACACACACACACACACACACACACACACACACACACATACACGCATACACTCACACATTTGGTTTCAGAAATAAATTACACCAAAGCTTAAGGTTATTTTATTTTAATTACTTGACAATAAAGAAACACTAAAGAAGTGCTGCATATATACAGCACAGATAGACCTACTTTTTAAATATAAATAAAACCCTTACTGTATATATAGTAAAAAATATTTTGTTTTTCCAAGCTTTGGAAGGAATGGTTGCATTCAAAATAGCATCAATGTTTTCAGAGTGCAATAAGAAGGGATAACAGTAGTCAATTAGGGGATAACTCAGAATAGAACACAGTCTTGAACGGTAGCTCTAGAGGTGTAGTTCCAACCACGCAAATGTGTGACGCAGTTTGCAATTGTTCGTTGAAACTATGAATTCTGGAGCATATCAAAAAAATTTTGAGATGACGAAATTTGTGATCTTAATGGTCTTGGGAAACATATCTCCGTTAGTTTGTTTTTGTTAAAGAGCCTATATTATACATGAAATAGGGTCATATCTTGGTTGTAAGGGTCTCCAACAACAGTCTAATATGCATGCAAGGTCAAAAAACACTTTCATGGTCTTATAATCTGCATTTATTTTTACCTAATTATTCCAGCGACTCCCATATGAATCGTCCAGTGATTAATTTGTTCCCAAACCCCTCCTTAGCTCATATAAATATAAAATTAATCACGGTTCATACACGCTCGATAGTGTAGGCGTGGATTTTAGCTGCCAGTGGGTCAATGTAAATACAGTCGATGGACTTGATAATACAGACAACTAACTATTTTATTGAGCAAAAACTCTAAAAACTGTCGAGATCTCCTAGCTTGTCTCACTCTGCTCTTTTCACAGACACACACACAAACACACACACACATACCTCTGGACGACAGCGCACGCACACACACACGCACGCACACACCACCCTCGTCCACGGAGCTCCGTAAACAAAGCAGCACGCGTCGCGTTTTTAACGTGACTTTGCACGCGATAAGAGAATATAGCCAGTTAACCTGATACAGTACACGCGGTTACAAGTAACAAATCACAATTAAATACATTTGCAAGCTAGAGTAAACGAGGCAGCAACTTTAATCGCACGTACTTAAACTTGAGAAATGGAGAAAGAAACTCTTCCTGACATGTCCAGCAGTAAGTTACTCTTTACTGAACCTTCATTTAAAAAACGCAGATGAAGTATTCTTTGTAGCATGTAGTTTGCAGAAGTTTCCAGTAGTTTCCAACTGCTTGGTTATAATGCTGAGGTTTCATCTTTGGGTAGAGACTCGATAATATCCATCTGCAGTGTGACTTCAATCGACTGGCATGTTTGTGTGTGTGTGTTTGTGGGTGTGTGTGTGTGTCTGGGTTTCTGTGTCAGAGGGCGGGGCCTCAGGTTTCAAATCTCCTGGGTTTGCGCGTGCACGTGAATAACTTGGTTTCGTTAGTACGTCATGGCGAAACACCTAATGACTCGGTATCAAGGCGGCTCGTTTGAAGCACTATGAGTCCACTCTTTTATAGATGAATCAACCATTTTAAACACTGTACTCTTACAGATTTAAGCCTTAGCTGGATACTTCACTTCACTTAGAGCTGTGTTACACACTACATGGAGGGGAATTTTCAAAAACCCATGATATGGGCTCTTTAAGGTAATAACACTTGTATTTTGTATAACATTCACTAAAAATACCTCAGATGTTATAGAATGTTTATAAAAAGCTGTTGTTTTTAACTTTCCATTAATGAAGGAATCAAGAAAAAGCACAGTTTATAAAAAAATAATAAAGATAACAACTGCATTCAGCGTTAATTACAACACAAATGATTTTTTTGAAATGTAATTTTAATGATTTCCGAAGGATTGTACTTAAAAATTCATACTTTTTGCCAAAGGAAAACATTTTATTAAAATAAAACCATGACAATTATTATTATTATAATTCATTTATACCATTCATGATATTTTTTTTTAAATAATATTATATAAAACATCCTTACATACATTTAAAAAAGCATACAGCATACAGTTAAAGCATACACCAGCCCTAAATTCATCTTTCCCAAAGCTGACTTCCTTCCCACCTCACACTCCATTAAAACAGTCCCATTTGTGGTGTTTTATGCATTGGCTGCAAAGCCATCACTCACACATTAGTGGACTTTCAACAGGCCGTGTGTCATATACACATGAGCTTCTCTCAACTAAATTTATTTGGAAAAACTGTAAGGATAAGCTAATAGAGAACAGTCTGATTTACAGAGCTAACTCTGTGTCCACTACATTCTGAGCTCCATGTTTGGAGCCAGATGGCAAGCCGTACTCCCCAATAATAATTAAAATATCCATCATCTGTGGAGAATGGGGCCTCGGTTGGGTCTAAAATAGTGCAAAACACTGCAGACCCGCTTCCCTTTGCGGCTTCGGTCAGACGGTTGACCGGAGAGTAACACAGCAGAATGAGAAGCGACTCCGTGATTTAAGGCTTATTTCATGCAAACGTGTTTTAAATAGTCTGAAATCGTATAAGGCTGTTCATATGGTAGCACGACACGGGCTGGCACATCCCTCAGACATTCCTGCAGGAGTTAGGTCATGGAAATTGCGCTGGTCTCAAAGGAAATATTGAGTGTATTAAGAGGGGCCTTCACGCAGGACAGGGTTTACATACCGTTCACAGCGCAAGACTGCTTCTTGAAGAGATTTCTGTAGTTTTACACTCTATGTGAGGGCTGTTGGCACATTTTGCAATAGTAAATGTCCTCAACTGATTGTTGGATGCTTGTTTTTATGCTTATACATGATTTAGAAAACCTATTAATAGACAACAGCGTAGGGGTTAATTGGATCATGGCCCACAGATCTGAACATTCATTAATTTTAATAGCACTTTCTTTTTATTTGCTGCATATTTGTATTGTTTAGCTATTTACAGAGTAAAAGACAATTTTGTTGTGAATAGAATATACTTATTTTAAAGACGGATGTTAAGATAGACTACTTATTTTTATTTACTTGTTTTTTTGTGGCATTTTGCATTTGATAGGTCGGATTTCATACTATCTGTATTTATGTAAACATATTTGTTATCACTAATGTGAACGCTGTTGGGATACTATTAGATGTGTTATATTCTATTGAATAAGTAATGTTAACCAAACAAAAGTAAAGATGGAATCATGTGTTAATGTGCTATTTCGCATTTGTTTGTTAAATAGTTGTCTATTTTTATTTAAATTGTTAACTTATATTGTATTTGACCGCTTTTAACAACAATGATAATGAATCACACAGAGTTATTGGATTATTATTATTGTGCTTATTATTTTAAAACTTCGATCATATTTATTTTTTGTCTATTTACTTAAACAGTTTTATTATATTTTATTATGCATTCAACAGGTTTTTCTTTTAAAAGGATAAAAATAAAAGTTTTCCATGGGTTATTTTTTGTTAAACTGTTCTTTTAATACATTTAAAACAAGTTATATTTGTCTCATTTAAATTAAAAATGTGATTTATTTAATTAATACATTTTTAAATTTGCCAAATTTACCAAATAAAGAATATCATAGAGCTATTAGTTTATTAATATGGTTATTATGTTTAAAACTTACATCTAATTTATTTAATTTTGGTTTAGCAACCATGTGTTGCTTTTTGTCGTTTTATTCGTGTTCGGTAAACTGAGCAGCCAATCAGAAATCTCTCTCAGAGAGATGGCACAGATGGACAAAAATTTTACATGTTCAATCCATGTTTAGTTCCAAAAAATCCCTGATTGGGTTCAAATGGTATTAACATTCAAGACAACAATTGAAAATCAGTGATTCTTGTTGACAGCTGACAGTTGGCTTGGTGTTTGAGAACTTGTAGTTGAATGGCTGCTTTAATAATGACGTCTACCTGTTCTGATAACCATGTATGTGTGTTTGTGTGTCAGTCTGATCTTCTCAGGGATGAGGTTAGGGGCCGACAGCCAGTTCAGTGACTTCTTAGATGGTCTTGGTCCTGCTCAGTTGGTGGGTAGACAAACTCTTGCCACACCTGCTATGGGTAAGTCAATATTTGTATATGTAACAAACAAACATTTTTATATTGCTGGAATATTGTTTAGTCTAAGATTTTTTTAGATTGTGTTCAAGGAAAAACTTTGATAAATGTTAAAGCCGTTCTGGAGTTAAAACACCTTTTTCGTTTTTCTTAGCATTTTGATTTGTGTTTGATGGACCGTTATTTGAATTTAAGTTACATTACATCTACAAGTCAACTAATTCTCATTAGATTATAAGTAGACTGCTAGGTTGGGGTTAGGGTTGGGATTGGGTTTAGGGTTAGTGTAAGTTGACATGTACTTGCAAAGTTTCTTATAGTCAGTTAAATGTCTGTTGAAGGAGCAGTATCAACAAATAGTAAACAGACAGTCTACTACTCAAATGGACCATCAAAATAAAGTGTTACCATGTGTCGTGTTGTTTTGCTTGTTTATTCACATTTTGATTAGTTGTTTCATGATTTTTTATTTAATTTTTTTTTTTGTAGGAGATGTTCAGATTGGACTGATGGATAAGAAAGGGCAGCTTGAGGTGGAGGTTATCAGGGCCCGTGGTCTTACACCTAAACCAGGTTCCAAATCGCTGCCGGGTGAGTGTGTGCTCACATTACACTAGTTACTTACATTTATTGTGTTTCTTATGTGTAACATTGTTACATGTTTGAATACATTATTCAGTATTTATGTTCAAGAGCATTTTGAAGAAAATTAATACATTTATTTAGCAATTGGATACATTTAATTGATTGAAAGTGACAGTAAAGACTTCTATAAATAAAAAATATAAAAAATAATAGTAATGATAATATTAAAAACATTTATTGACCAGCAAACTGAAAATCATTTCAGACAATATAATATTAAAACAGAGGAAAGTTGAAAAATATAAATAATTTTATTTTTACAATATTGTTATCATAATAATTGATGTGTAGTATTGTGATTCGTTTTTTGTTATAAAACAAACAGCTAATAGAAATGTGTTTTAGTACTATACATTATGCTAGTTGTATGTGTCTAAATGTTCATTTTTGTGCTTTACATCTTCCTTCAAAGCTCCCTACGTCAAGGTCTATTTGCTGGAGAATGGAGCGTGCAAAGCCAAAAAGAAAACCAAGATTGCACGGAAAACGCTTGATCCTTTGTATCAGCAATCGCTGTTGTTTGAGGAAAGTCCGCAGGGTAAAGTTCTCCAGGTAAGAAGTACATTTCAATAATCTATTTCTGTTATTTACCTCCAAATTCTACCATTTCACCACTTGATTTTTTTGAGATTGTTTGAGATTGATTTTGAGATTGAGTTTTAAAATATTGACCATTGAAGATTTAAAATCCATATAGCAGAAATGATATATTTCATGAAATAAGTCATGAAAATGGCAGAAATTCTTAATATATTTTAAATATGTTATCAGAATTCTCTCACATTTGTAAATAAGATTTTTAGAACTTATCAAATGCAAATAGAATATTCTAATTTGAAAAAGCAAAGGAACAAACAAACATAATCAATTACAGTCTGGAAATACTAGGCTCTAGTCTTGCAACAATTTGTTGGCATCCCTATGTAACCTTAGTGTTTAATGTGATATGTGTGCATATCTTGACTGCTGACTGTATCTTCAGGTAATAGTCTGGGGAGATTATGGCCGCATGGACCACAAATGCTTCATGGGAGTTGCACAGATTTTTCTAGAGGAGCTGGATCTTTCTAGCACAGTTATTGGCTGGTACAAACTGTTTCCCCCGTCATCATTAGTTGACCCGACTTTAGCTCCACTCACCCGTCGCGCTTCCCAAACATCACTGGACTCTTCAGGGCCACCGGGCACCAGGTCCTAATGAACGGACAGGAGCTTGACGCCAAAATACAAACAAACTCAAAACCACGGTGACCCCAGTGGACCAAGAGACCTGAGGCAACAACAATCAGAACCGGAGCGGCAGACGGACAGAACCACGATCAAAGCTTTGCTGAAGCCTGACAATCACTTCTCTCTTTTACTTTTGATCTTTGGGTTGTAGAGATTTCCTTTGATCCACTCTGCTCCTTTACTGCATGTTTCGTTGCTGATTTGACCCAAATCAACAGAGAGGAACAGGACAGGAAGAAGTGGTGCCCCGTAGCCTAGATCGCTGTGGTCAGTCAGAGTGTGGGTTTTCTCAGAGCGAGAGGACAGCACTGCCCCTCCTCGAATAATATTGCACTTACAGGAAGCTCGAGGATTTAAGGTGGAGATTTAGTCTTCTCAGAGAGTCTCCTCTCTGCATCACGGATGCTGCGTCCCGAGCCCCGCCGTGTTTGGCACCAACTCAGATTGTGTGTGTGTGAGTGTGTTTGTGTGCGGACGAATGAATGAATGAGCGAGTGTTTGCGAAAGCAGGGGCGCCTGAGAACCTTTTAAGTCTGTTTACAGCAGTCACCAGCGACTGCTTTGCCTTTTCACGTTACTGTTGATTTGGTAAATAGGCACACTTTGTAGAATGTGAAAACATGCTTCATGTTTTCTGATGTTTGTGTCATTCGAGCTTCACGGAAGACACAAAAAAACACTTGTATTCGATTCACAGAGACTGTAAGAAGCTGCCACTATCATTTCGGTTCACTAACATCACAGATCGCATCTTTAGCATTTTTAATTCTATTCCGTTTGGTAAAGGACTTGTACATACCGATATTAGGATTTCTACCCGACTAGAGTTTACATTATTTTAATGCAAGCACAATGCTTGATTTTTGAACAAAAAAAGATAATAAAAAGAAAAGGAGATTGATGATAGTAACAATAAATAATAATAAAAAAATGACAGAGAACGAGAGGCCAAAATCGTAAGCTTCCTATTTTTAGCTGTTTGTCATGGATTTAGTTTATTTTAAAACTCCCCCTGAGCATTTTGAATGTGACAGTGAGACGTGGTCTCCGCTTAAGACCACACGACGCCAACAAGGGGAACAGCATGAATCGGGAACTGTTCCAAGTTGCATGCACATTTTGTAAAACAAGACAGATGAGAAAAAAAAGAGACTACAATAAGTGTGTGTTAGTTCCACAAAACTGTAGGCCAGCTTGTATGTTGCATGTACTTGTACAGTTTGCTTGTACTTGATATAAATAGATTATCAAATAAAAACGAAGCCATTCATTCCATGTGTGGGCATTTGGCCAGGTTCAGCCATACACACAGGCCTTATTTTGGGGCTGAATGTCGATAAGAATTTTTCTAATTCCTTTATTTTCTTTTCTTTTGAAACCCTGGATGGATAAATAAGTGCTGTACTGTAGAACCGAGCAAACACAAGGCCCTGTTTTCTTGAAGATGTTGGTGTTCACTGTAGTCTGTACTACCGTGGCCTAAAACTAAGGTAGACAACCTGTATAAAAAATAAAAATATATATATCTAGAGCTATCTGTATATGGAGTATAAAATCACAATGACTTAGAGATATATCGATATTGAGATGGAGTGTGTCAAGTAAACATCACTTACGTACATGCATATATTGTAAATATGAGTCTGCAGAGAGGTTTACTTATATTTACAAAGCGGCCCCATCTAGTGCTCTGTCTCTTGGTTCTGCTGAGCGGAAGAAGGGACACCTCAAAAGTTTTATTTTAGTGATGCCCAAACCCCGTCGAATGAAATTTGGACCTCTACCGACCGGTTGCTTTGTCATAAACGCTCACGAATCCTCGTTTCAAATGAGAAGTTTACTTTCTATGCCTGCTTACGGCAGACTTATTTACTTTGTCAGTATTATTCAAGGATACTGATTGTTTACAGTTCATGTGTTCCACTGAAACAAAATTGAAAGTATTCACTGCAACATTTCTTGTTTGTACAGCAGATGTGGCTCAGATAATGTGTATGTTTTATAATCAAGAGTTCATTTTTATTATTTACAAATAAAAGACTGTGTGGAAGAATTGGTGTGTGGCGCTTGTTTATAATATGTTCTTGAAAAAAGTGTGTGTGTGTGTGTGTGTGTGTGTGTTTATTATATATACATACACATACACATACAACAGTTCTGTCTGGTTCTCAAATCTGATTCACTGATAGCCATGCGATATTCTGCAACATCAGAACTCGTACAGTCTCTTCACACTTGTGTATTACTCCACCCACATGGAGTGACAGCAGATCAATAAACTCTGTACAGTTTGACAAAATTTTACAGCTTTTGGACAACATAATGTACTTTTGAGTTTTTTCAGGTAAGAATGTACTTGTTTAGATTGCAACTCTGCAGTTTATTTACAGGGACTGTGCCTATTTTAAATATGTTTATAAATCTCCATCAGCCTGTCACTGAGCAGAGCAAAGATGGTTGATGTTGTCCATCCACAAGTTGGTGACATAATAAACTCTCAGAGGGCATTTACAGCTGATCAAATCATATTAAAACAGGTAAGTGACTTTCTAAGTCGATCTCTCTCTTTTGTATGTTGCAGTGCTGTATTTATACCATATAATTTTAGTGTATTGAGTGTGAGATGGGACTCGCATATCAGGAATGTACTGTATATATTTTGTGTTGGCCACTCCTTGTATAACAAAGAGTTACTTTTTGGTTGGCCATCTGTTTGTTTCTAATGAGTCTCTTGTTTTCGGTACTGCAGACTAATTCAGTAAACAGAAAGAAAGAACAAATGCCTGCATGTGTTCCTTAATTTTCCTTAACGCAAACACAACAGTAATCTGGTAAGGGCATCACACACCGGATGCGCTGCGACACGGCACACATGACAGTTGAAAGTATTGCACATCAGATGCACACATTTGCATGCTATTTAAAATGAAACTAATCAGGGGGGTATGTGCTTAAGTGATTCATGAAGACACAAATTAATAAAAGAACATGATGACATAGGAATTACAACATTGTTATTATTTATTTTGAGGACATATCATGTGTCCTCTTAATATAAAGCTGTTTAAAATCATACTTAACAAGGTATATGACCTAAGAAGTATATTCATCTTCTAGCTAATATTATGTGGTCGTTTTTATTTCCAAATCAGTGACACTAGTTTTTTTTCTTAATTTTGTGTATATAATATTTTTAAACTTCTACATTTCATTTAGGAAATGTTATTAATTTTAGAATTTGTCAAGGCCCTCAAACCAAAAAGTGATCTATACAGCAGTGTCCTCCAATCTAACTGTAATAAAGGGTAAACCAATCCCTCCACCACGTGGAGACAAATGGCATTACACTATTTATTTCCTTGAGTTTAAGGTTTACTTGGATTTGTTTAGTTCTTCAAAAGTTGTTCAAGGTCACTGCTCAATAATGACTGCTAAAAATACTTCTTCAGTCAGTGCTTCAGATTTCTGGAAATGCGACAAAGACGATGTTGTGTGTTTATGTAACCAACGAGCAGCTGTTCAGAGTCTAATGCATAATTGAATTATCTAGCTAATTGTAATTTAATGTCAGTGTCTGTTTAGGTGAGCTATAAAAGTAGCCACTCTGAAGTTGAGTTGAAGCATGGCCTTAAAGAAAAAGCAGTTGTTTTCCTAGAGATAGTCTCGCAGTAAATTACTTTTCAGTTATGCTTTAAACATTATCAGTGACAGATTTGGGCTTGTTTTATTTAGCGTTCACTCGCTGCTGCTATAGTAATGCTAGTGCACAGATCAACAACGCAGAACAGGAACCAAAATTGCTATTATGGAATAATAATAAACAGATGCTTCTCCAATGAAAATCAAATCGAGCAGCAGCATGTCAGGAAATTATGACGTTATTGCAGAGTTGGACTGTAACAAAATATTGCCACTTTTTCCATAAACTGAAATGTTTTAAGCTGAAATCAAAAACAGGCGATGATGTTCAACTGCGTAATGAGGTAATGAAGGTTTACATAGCGCATTTCACAAAAAGCATATTTAAAGTGATATAGGTAAAAATGACAGATGCTTAAAATACATAGAATAAAACATTACTCTTCATGAATCATAATTAACAGAAAACCCAAGGTAAGAAGGGGAATTTGCTGTTGTGCATCATCAAATGACTGAACCCAGCATACAAATGTTGGCCTATTATGGCAGTTATGCGGCTCTGATGGTCTTCTTTCGGCTCAGACAAAATGAGAGTGAGCCTGAAGTGGCTGACCTGTACAATGGCAAAAGGTGGCCAAAGATTCCAATTCATGGGCCATTTAAGGCAAAGATTTAGCACTTATGGCAAAGTGTAATCTGAATGTGAACCTAATGTGGCCCATGTGGAAAATGGTAAATTTGGCCCAAATAACCGAGGACAAATGTGGGCCACAATTGGCAAAAATGTGGCATAGTCATTTAAGGGTAATCTGGGTCTAAACCCAAAGTGGCTCACATGTGTAGGTGCAAATGTGGCCCAGTTATCAAATATTTGTGGGCCACTTTATGCAAATATTTGGCACAGTAAACTCTTGCTATGTGGGCCAGACCTGGGCTCAAATAAAAGAAAACTGTGGCCCAGAATAGGGTTAGTTCTGGTTCATTGGTTGAACTCTGGCTGATATGAGGTATTGTTATGGCTTAATTGTGGTCCAGATCTGGCAAACAGGAGCATACTGCCCTAGTGCCATCATTCCTTGTGTTATGTGGGCTGGATGTAAGTGTTTGGTGTGGGCCGGATTTGAGCCACATGAATTTTGCTATCTGGGAAATGAGACTTAATACATAATAATAAATATAATACATAATATTAAATGATCTGTAATTAAAATTATATATAATAAATTAAATATACCAATAATTATAATATTTCATATTTTGTTTAAGCGTTTTTAAGAATTACAATGTGTCAATAGTGTTAATAAAATACAAAATTGTCCATTTATGTTCATTTGTTGTCACTTTGTGACTTTTTTTGTGTGGCACTGTTATAACCTGAGCACTCTTGACAGCAAACCAATTCTAACTTTGGGTATAAATAAGGTAAGCTAACCTAAAAGTATATGTTAAAAAGAAACAAATATGATGTTTTAAATACAGAAACACTTTTGAATCTGCATGTACAGTAACAACACTGACAAAAAAAAAAAAAACCTGTTCATATGGATTTCCGAATCAGCAAACCCCTCAAAAGTAGTTTTGACAATCAGTCAATAGATTGCCATTGTTGCTTTGGTTGCCAAGTATTTGCGGATGTTCATACAGTAGATGTATATTTTACAAATACTGTATAAATATAATATTTTGTAGTTTCAGATAAATGTATTGTTTCCAAAAAAAAAAAAAAACTTTTTCGGCCCACAACGCAGTTCATGCTCATGTAAATGAATTGTCAAAATGCATAAAATAAACTAAACATGACAAACCACTCAAACTTTTTAACAAATAAAAGAACTTTTTGCTTCACGTTAATAGTCCAGGCAACATTTTGTATTTGCAATTGCAAGAGTCAATTATGTCAGCAGCTGTAGTCCTGGTGTGTTTTCTAAGACTAAACCTATTTTAGTCGAGCAATACAAAATCAGGCTCACCAATTTTTGAGAATTTAGTAATAAGTAGACATTCTATGTTAAGGATTCAGCATCCATGTGGTTTCTGTATTCAAGGGCAAATTTAAAGATATTTGTGAAAAATTTGTACTTTCTGCTTCTTTAAAACTTGTTGAAATAAGGTTTATCGTAAACAATTTGATGGCATTTGTACTTTTTACATCTCTAACCTCCTAGTGCAGCAACTTGCATTACACCTACATTTTAAGCAGTATTCATACATGTGTATTTTTTTATTTCATAAAATAAAATGTCCAAGTATCATCAAGTCACTCTGTGTCTACCACAGAACTTATTTTTCTCATGAATTAAAAAGGCATTACAAAATACCAGCAGAGAAATCTCAAGGGATTGGCTTCACAGCTGCAGCTCTCCATTAGTTTTAGTTAACTCTAATAACCATGCTTCTATGTCATTAATCACACTGCAACTGAAAGATTGTGTTCAACTTCAGCCCATTGCACTTTACATAAAACAGTGACAAACTGGAAAACACGGTGCATTTCTTACTGGTCTTTATGCAGGTGAGTGGGCTTCACAAACCACCTGTAGATGACACACCCCAGTGACCCCACAAAGCTCTGGCCCACACAATCAGCGTTTGCTTGGCTCACATGCCTCTGTGAATTACCATTCATGATGGGACCAAGTCTGACTTCCATACAAGGTCCAAACATATCTTGGACCATATCTGGGCCAAGTTTCAACCAAGTTAATAACCCATAACTGGGCAAGATATGTTAGTGTGTCAAGACTGCAATGAATTTAATAAATTTCGCATTTATAGCCATGCTCTTTCTCGAAGCAACCCGATTGGTATAATTATTTTCTTCACTCAAAAAAAATTTAAATGTATTTTAAAAGTGGGTCAAGATAAGCCAAACTTCCGTGTCCCTCATATACATTTTTAACATCTGGGTCAAATGCTGCATTTGATGTCTGGCCTATGTCTTGTGTGCCACCTTAATGACTGTGCCACCTCTGCCAAATCTGAGCCATGTTTGGCCCACATGCAGTATGCCAGTGCAGGACGAATGCCTGCTGTGCCAGCTTTATGATAAATCTGGGCCAGAATTCTTTGCTACCTGGAACACTTTGCCTTTCCATATGCACCAGACGCCGTCTTATATATTCAGACACCTCCTTATATCTAAACACTCTGTATTTCTGAGAAAACATTGTGTATTTCTAATTGTGCTTCATGCAGTTGAGTGGGCTTTACAAACCACCTGTAGTAGACACACTCTTTTCCTCTATATGTACCAGACACCTTCTTATAAACACTCTGGTTCCAGAAAAATATTGTGCATTTCTAATTCCTGCACCTACATGCAGGTGAGTGAGCTTGACCAAACACCTGTAGGAGACACACTTTTCTTCTTCATATAAACCAGACGCTTTGCGAAGGTAGTAGGTCATCAGGTTC